CATAAAAATGTTTTGCTTTTTTATGAATGGGGAGCTACTGATTGGCTTAGAGTGCCAGCTGACCGCTCTAGCCAATCAACGACACCCCTACCCAGCGGCACTCTGTGCTTCCTGACACTCAGTAAATAAAAGTGAACACATTAACACTGGTATTTTTTTTTTTAACCTGGGGAGATGAGAAGGCCCAAAGTTTCCCTGCCAGGCCCAGGTACCAAAGCCTTATGATGTGGCATCCAGAATAAAGTGGAGGCTTCACTTCACTTCTCCTTCATTTGACACAGTCTTCTTTTTCTTCTGACACTGTCTTCTCTCCACTTTGGCTCCTTCTGCTCCTTTACCTTTCTGCTTATTGTGCGCCCTTCTGCTCCTTTCTCTTTCTGATCCCTTTCTGCTCCTTCTCATACTTTACCTTTTGTGCTCCTTCTGATTCTTTCTGCTCCTTTACCTTTGTGCTCCTTCAGTCCCTTTCTGCTCTTTGCAGACCCTTCCTTCTCCTTGCAGACCATTCCCGTTTCTTGCAGACCCTTCCTGCTAATTTCTGCTCCTTCTCCTACTTTATGTTTGTGCTCCTTCTGCCCCTTCCAGCTCATTGCTGACCCTTTCTGCTCCTTGATGTCCCTTCCTGCTCATTTCTGTCATTCTCCTACTATACCTTTGTGCTCCTTTTGTCCCTTCCTACTTCTTGCTGCCCATTCCTGCTCCTTGCAGACCCTTCCTGCTCATTTCTGTTCATTCTCCTACTATACCTTTATGCTCCTTCTGTCCCTTCCTGCTCCTTGCTGCCCTTTCCAGCTCCTTGCTGACCCTTTCTGCTCCTTCTGCTTTACCTTTGTGCTGCTTTACCTTCCAGCTGCTTCCTGCTCCTTCCTTCTCTTTGCTAACCCTTCCTTCTTCTTGCTGACCCTTCGTGCTTCTTGCAGACCCTTGCTGTCCCTTCCTGCTCCTTGCTGCCCTTTCCTGCTTATTTCTGTTCCTTTGTGCTCTTTTGTTTAAGAACAATAAGGATGTGGAATGCTCTGCCTGAAGAAGTGGTTTTATCGGAGTCCATACAGATGTTCAAACAGCTACTAGATGAATACTTGCAAAACCAGAATATTCAAGGATATAATATTTCAATGTAGGGTAATAACTGCTTCATCCAAGGATAAATCTGACTGCCATTCTGGGGTCAAGAAGGATTTTTTTTCTTAGCTTGTTGCAAAATTGGAAGTGCTTCAAACTGTTTTTTTTTTTTTGCCTTCTTTTGGATCAACAGCAAAAAACAAATGTGAGGAAGGCTGATGGAAGCAAGTCTCTTTTCAGCTATGTAACTATGTAATTATTCTAATTCTCCTTGACCTTTCTGCAGCTTTTGACACTGTTGATCATCAACACCTTCTTCTCATCCTCTGCAATATTGGTTTAGATATTGCTCTCTCCTGGTGCTCCTCCTACCTCTCCCAGCGCTCTTTCAGTGTTTCTTTCTCTGGCTCTGCTCCTCTCTGTTGGTGTCCCCCAATGTTGGTGTCCCTCTCTGTTGGTGTCCCCTAATGTTCAGTCCTTGGTCCCCTACTGTTCTCCATCTATACTACGTCCCTTGGTAAACTCATTAGCTCCTTTGGCTTCCAATATCATTTCTATGTGGATGACACTCAAATCTCTGTCCTCTCCTGATCTCTCCCCATCCCTCTTGATTAGTGTCTCTGACTGCCTCTCTGTTATTTCTAACTGGATGGCTGCCCACTTCCTTAAACTCAACTTGACCAAAACTGAAATTCTGGTCTTGACTCCCTCAAGTGTTGCTACTCCTCTGTCTCCCTCCCTCCAAGTCAACGGTGTTACCATCAGCTCCACCACGCAGGCTCGCCATCCAGATGTTCTCTTTGACTCCGACCTCTCCTTCACACCTCATGTTCAGTCTATCGTCAAATCCTGCTGCTTACATCTCAAAAACATTGCGCGCGTCCGACCCTACTTAACGCCAGATGCGACTAAGGTGCTGCTCCATTCCACTGTCCTTTCTTGCCTTGACTACTGTAATTCACTTTTCAGTGGTCTTACGTGCTCCCAACTTGCGGCGCCACAGTCCATAATGAACGCGGCGGCGAGGCTCATCTTCCTCTCCGCCCGCACCTCCCACGCCTCACCCTTCTGTCAGTTCTACATTGGCTTCCTGTAAGATATAGGGCTCAATTTAAAATTCTGGTTCTTGCTTTCAAATCTCTACATAATGCTACTCTCACCTATCTATCTTCCCTAACGCTCCCTAACGTTCTGCTGAAGACTTCCGTCTATCTTCTGTCCGTACTCCCATCTCTGATGCTCGCCTTCAAGACTTCTTGAGGGCTGCACCGCTCCTGTGGAACTAATTTCCCTCCTCCGTTAGATGCTCCCCCAGTCTCCACTCCTTCATAAAAATCATTAAAACCCACTTCTTCATAAAAGCGTATCAATTAAACTGTTACTAGCTCCTGACTGATTCCTCTTCTGCAACTGTCACTAGTCTAATACTATCCTTACCTTTTGGGTCACTTTACCCCACTCCCTCTAGCATGTAAGCTCATTGAGCAGGGCCCTCAACCCCTCTGTTCCTGTGTGTCCAACATCTCTGGTTACAACTACATGTCTGTTCATCCACCCATTGTAAAGCGCTGCGGAATTTGTTGGCGCTATAAAATTAATAACATAATAATAATAATAATAATATAACAATAATAATTGTGATACAACTAATTAAGAAGGAATTACACACAGGACTTATTAAACTATCCCTAGAACCAACAGAAGAAGAAAACATCTGCAAAGAGACACCACAAATGGAGGAAATTATTCTACTGGCCAAAACCTGCGTTTTCCAGTTAAAATTCCTGAACGTGTACTGCGTTTCTACCATTTTGGAACCATCTTTCTAACTCAGAGGACGTGTCCTGAAGAAATGTAGGCAAGGCAATAAAAAGGAATTTTTTATTTTTATGTCATAATGTACTTTACATATAAGCACCTGAACAAATAAACCTTAATGTAATGGTTATGGAGCAAATAGACGTTACTTTTTTTCTGATAATGTGATTTTGCAATTCAAAACTGACCATTAGAAGTAGCAAGGGTATGGGCCTAACCTTTCTTGTGCTGGTGGTCTATTTTTTTTTTTATTGCATCACAAATAGGTGATTGTTTAAAAATGTGCTAACATACAGAGTACATAAAACATGTTTGTGGTTAATGTTAAGGTTTTGATTTCTTAAAATTAATACATTTTGTAAATATTTAAATTTTTTCCTCTCGTGACTTTCAGAAGACAGCAAACAGGGGCTTTACGCCTTGGGTCTATGCTCATTTGGGACACAGGAATTGGCGTCCGATACCATCTGAAGTGGATCCAGGAGCTCTTCCCGGCATCGGAATGATTTTATGTAAGATACTGTCCTGTCTCCTTTGAGACCAATGCTGTGGACACAATGTCTTATTTGTGCATGTAGGTGTCACTGTTTAATCTTTTTTTAAAATTAAAAGTTTAACCCTTTTTTCACTGTGTGAAAATCACAGTGAGAAGTGCGGAAGCGCCTCTAGCGGCTGTCAATGAGACAACCACTAGAGGCTGGATTAACCCTAATATAAACATAGCAGTTTCTCTGAAACTGCTATGTTTATAGAAAAAAGGGTTAAAGCTAGCTGGATCTGGCACCCAGACCACTTCATTAAGCTGAAGTGGTCTGGTGCCTATAGTGGTCCTTTAAGAAACGAGGAAGCACCTTCAGTGGCCGTTTGAGTAACTGCTAGTAGTGGTGTAAAAAGGCAACAATGTAAATACTGCCTTTTCGCAAAAAAAAGTAGCGTTTACAATGAAAAGCATGCTATAGACACCAGCACCACTACATTAAACTGTAGTGGCTTGGTGACTATAATGTCCCTTTAAGGTTAAATAACCATTTGCCCTTTTTGCTTAAACTGCCTGTAGTTCCTAGATTTATTTGTGCCTAAGATTAAACTGGTGCTATTTTTTTTTTTGCTTGCTATTTAGTTTGCAGGAGATGGTGTGCATATTTGTAACAACAGACTAATAGGTTTTTTTTTTTTATGACGTTAGAGACTATGCAATCCTTTAAAAAAAGAAAATGTATACAGTTTAGTAAACACATCACCTAGTCTGGGTACAGAGGATATTCGCAAATGGGCCAAATACATATATAGGGGAGCAATAAAATACGATGGTGGATAGTCGTCGGCTCTTATGTTGTAGTTACCAGATATTTACTCATGTATTAACCTTTCGTTTGTTGCTAAACAAAAAAATTTATAAATGAGAAGCATAATATGAGCCTTCATTTCATAATAAAATCATTAATTTACATTCAAGTTAATTATACCCTTGTGAAAGCTTAAAGGACCACTATAGTGCCAGGAAAACATACTCGTTTTCCTGGCACTATAGTGCCCTGAGGGTGCCCCCACGCTCAGGGACCCCCTCCCGCCCGGCTCTGGAAAGGGGAAAGGGGTAAAAACTTACCTTTTTCCGGCGCCTGGCGGGGAGCTCTCCTTCTCCGATCCTCCTCCTCTCTGCCCATTCGGCTGAATGTGCACGCGCGGCAAGAGCTGCGCGCGCATTCAGCCGGTCGCATAGGAAAGCATTTACAATGCTTTCCTATGGATGCTTGCATGCTCTAACTATGATTTTCACAGTGAGAAGCACGCAAGCGCCTCTAGAGGCTGTCAATGAGACAGCCGCTAGAGGCTTTGGAGGAAGGCTTAACCCATTTATAAACATAGCAGTTTCTCTGAAACTGCTATGTTTATAAAAAAATGGGTTAACCCTAGCTGGACCTGGCACCCAGACCACCTCATTAAGCTGAAGTGGTCTGGGTGCCTAGAGTGGTCCTTTAAGCACTAGGATTACCTCATCTTTCACAAGCATGGTTTTTGAATGTAGCCAAAGCTGAGTGAACATGTTGTCTATTTCTAACCACGGTTGACAAGAAAAGCCTTGCTGAAGCTAGTCTGTGGTGGGAGATTATTGTAGTAAATTGATAAACACTAGAGCATCGTTTTATGTATTTTCTTTCAGAATATTTGCCAATAGCAAGAAATATAAAAAGTATTAATGTTGTAACTTAGTTTCTTGATTATTGTATATTGACAGATTGACATTCATATTTAAGCACCGGTCTCAACATGGACATTCCTTTTACAAACCCTCTATTATATTTAAAGAACAGATTCATTATTTAAATGATTAAACTTTGTCCAATGGTGTGATCCACTGTAACACGAGTGAATACCCTAAAAGTTCAGGAACCTTTTATGCCTTCAAAGTATATCGATTATATTTCTATGACTCAAATAAGAATGAAAGGGTCATTTCTCTAATCACTAATTATAGAAAAAAAAAAAAAAAGATTTTCTTTAGATCTTATAAGATATCCTATGACAAAAAACCTTACAAACTTTTTTTTAAGTGGATGTTTATAGCTATATTTTACAAGACAGTTGTCACTTGGTTGGAAAATGTACCTATGAAAGATAAAAAGAAATATCAAGAAAATGTTCCAAAATAGGAATTTAAAAATGTATTTAAATAAGCCTGACTTTTATGCCAAGAATATAGGTAGACATTCAATTCAGTGAACATATCACACATCTAGTTGTTATAAATAGGTCTTAATAGAAAAGAAAGTAAATAAAAACGAGTGTAGTTTTAGACAAAGTTCCCTCAATTATAATGTTTTAATGTTTTTTTTTTTTTTTAAATCAACAAGAGACTTTTTTTTTATTAAACAGGTTTAAAGAAAGACTATTTTTTACAATGCCTAAATGGGGGAAAAAATTAAGAGTGATTATAGGGGAGACAATAATATTACATAGAAAATAATTAAGAGTTTCCTGAAAAAGAAAATTGCAAGTACAATTTTATCACCTACAAGTCCTGTGCGCCATGTAGAACTCGTAAAATTCCCCAGAAAGATTGACTTTTCAGGGAATTAAAACAATCTTATAAACGTAAAGATTGTATTCAATGTAAGAGTAAAAATTGGATATTGGTAATAATGCTTGTGCGGGTATGTAGGAAGGACTTCTCATCTAATATGTTCAAGACTAGGGGAGCATCTTGGCACATTATTAAGCAGTGATATGCACATTATAATTACTAATAAAATGTTCAAATTTCATGTTCTACTCATGGGTGTCACTTCTCCAGTCTCTCCCTACTAAACAGAGAAGTGGATGTAAAAGACTGAGCACAGACAGGCTGTTCTTTAAAGACAGATTATTCCTCTTCAGGCCCTACAGAGTATTCTCAGAAGAAGAGTATCAAGGAGGGAGAAACAGGAATAGATCACTACAAGTATTTAGTAATGGCACATTTGTAGCCTCAATAAAGGAATGGTGCCACAATGCTGGCAGCAAAAAAACTTGCCAACTGGGCCTAACAGTCAAACAAGAAAGGTGACTAATAGATGGAAAATGCTCAAATAATTGGTTGGTAGCATCCGCAAAGGGTCCATTTGGTTAGTAATACGTTATATTAAACCCGTGGGCAAGTATATGTCTAGTGGCATGTGTAGCTTATAGAGGGAATTAATGACAATAAAAATATGTAACATGAGAGAGGGAGGCCACTGGTGCACCCTGGAAAAAATACTGAGCAGATGTTAAAAAGGAAAAATATAAACATATACTGCAACCAGCCCTAGCTGATGGCACTTCAACCAACACCAACATAGCTTGGTGTTGCTTGAGGTAAATAAAATGGCTTTTTACCAACACAGAGGCATAGCTTGAGGTAAATAAAATGGCTTTTTACCAACATAGAGGCAAGTCCAAAACAGTCTGTTCCACCAGTCCCAGGTAATTTCTTAAGCCAATAACCGGCGCCCACAGATCTGGCCAGTTCATGGAGAATCCCATCAGGTGCATCCGTCACCAAAGAAGAACCCTCACAGGTTTTGAGCTGCGATGCAGATTTTTACCCCGCCAGCTCGCAGCCTAAGTATTGGCTATGGGAATTTGTCTTAAGTGCCAAAATGGAGGCAGCAAATGGTTGAGAGCTCAAGTGCAAAAAGCTGTTTGCACAATGTCACAATGCAGGCTGTGAAAAGCTCCCAGTGCCGGTTATGCCAAGAATCTCCAGGTGATTTTCATAAAATCCCTCCACTGAGGACAGGGATACCCCCACTGGTCCTGGGGGAGGAGAGGGCACCAGCATTTCAGCTCAGGTTGCTTTAGGCTGGGAGATCATCCACCTCTTCTCTCCTCTCAGTGGAAGGGCACTAGGCTTCGCTGTGTAGTTTGAGGTACTCCATTAATCGGCTGATATTATGGTCAGCAATCTCTCCACCATGCGCCAGTCTAACGGCCCCCGGCTCACCGCGACATGCGGTAGCACCTGACTGGTGCGACCGCGTAGACGAACTGAGCCTACCTGCTCAGCGGCGAGTCAGGAACTGCTCAGCCAGGTCCTCCTGGTCGCCTGCCCTTGACCAATATTGTGCCGACCACATGTTCGCAGCCATATATAGCCCTGCCCCCCAGGGTCACCTCTGGCATCATACACATTCACGTTCTGGCATCAGAGGTCACCCTCTGACCAATCACAGCCAAAGGAGGAATATTTAAATCCCTGAAGTTCCCTAGTTGATTGCCCTGTCGTGGTTTCCATTCCTGGTTCCCAAGAGTACGTTTTCTTTGATATTCCCGGTATTTTGACCTTGGCTATTCCTGACTATTCTGATTTCTGGTTTACCTGACTTGGCTTGTTTAATGATATTGTGTACTCCTAGCTTCCTTGACCTCGGCTATCCCTTGACCATTCTCTCTCTTTAACGTATTAGTCCGGCCATTCTAAGGACTGGTTTATGTTCTATCCTTTTCTGTTCTGTGTATGTAGATGTTACATAGTTCTGCGTGCTGGACCACACTAGCTGTCTTGACAGCCAGTTGAGTCAAGGATTAGGTAGAAAGAGCCCTGTAAGGCTAAAGAAAAAACACTTTATTATTATACCAGTGAGGAGCTCTCACCCAGCATGTCTGTGCAGCTTGACAGTCAGACCAACTGACTGTCCTCTATGTTTGGTATCACAACCGGTAACCTCAATTCAATTCTCAGCCTAAGGAAATTGCACCTTAATACAATGCTCAATATATATGTACAAAGATTAACAGCTAAATTAACACACACTGTCACATCTCTAAATGGATAGTGTACCTAAAGTGAAGAACATGAAAGATTTGTTCACTATCTTTGTTGCTATACTTTATTAACCTCATCAGTAGGTTTCCTAACATGGATGACTCATGAGGTAAGTAATATTGGAGATAGATGTGCACACTGCATAACTTTCTTCTTAAACAGCTTCACTTTCAAGACTTCAAGATGGCTCAGTTTACTTAGAATAGTGCGTCTGTGTGGAGAAATTGTCCCAAAAGGTTTGGTCAGGAATCCAAAATATAAGCATCTCCTCAAGATCCCGTTGGACCAGTTTTAACTGAAAATGCATCTATCGTGTTTATCTTTCATATTAAAATCAGGCTAGGATCCACCAAATATTCAGGTATTTGAATGAAGTAGGCTTAAGTTAGACTGTTGTTTTTAAATTCTGAGATCCTCAAAAGGTAGATCTTTTTATTCCTTTAAAGATGACTTGGATTGAGAAGTCTTCTTAACCAATTTGGTTCCTTTGATTTCATTTGAAGCCCTGTTCTTCTCTAGCCGTTTGCTGGTAAAAACATTCTTGATCAAGCGAAACTTAGATTTCTTTTCTATAATAGAAACATAAAAATACAATCTTTAACAGCATATATTAGGATAGCCAGTCCATGATAAAATATAAATGTTAAGTTTCTCTCTATGTTAATTAAAGAGCAACATTTCTAGGTGAGGTGGGGGGTATTTTTGTGATTGTACCTTACAGACACTATTCTGTATATATAGTCAATACTAGTGTATATATATATATCCACTAGTTATTTATTAGCCTATGTATTCCTTGTTTGATTAGAACAGTATTGTGAAAAAGAAACCCAGCTCTAATGATCCGGCCCAGAGAAGGCAAAGAAAAGCATTTAACCACTGTCACATGTCATATTCGCAAGGCCTGATGCCTATTAAGGAGTTATGATCACTCTGATTTGAGTCTTCAATGACATAAACCAGCATGGAACTTCTTGATTGACTATTAGCAGCTCTGCAGAGGTTTGGCATGGAAAATAAGCAGAATAAATGGAAACACTGTTAAAATGTCCATAATATTCGGTTACTGTACCTTTATTGAAATCTTTGTCCAATTCAGGACTACTTCCTCGATTTAGTTGTCCACTGTCATATGAAATGATATTTTCTGTATTCTCTTCTAGTCTGTGAAGTAATCGCAAGGTTTGGTTGCGGTGATTGCTTTTGTTATAGTTAGTCTGCTCTGAGCCATTTCCCTTCCATTATGGGCAGATGTAGACGTTTAATACACTCACACATAAATTAGAGTATCGTATTTCTATCGTAAATGCTTGAAATGTATAGATGAAGTGACAGTTATGACATTAACTGCTTCTCAGTGGAAAAGAGGATTGTGCGCAGGCAATCCACTTGGTCTTTAAACTTCCCTTTAGCGTACAAAAATACTAATTTTGGTGGATACGTGAAACCAAAACATGTTGAAAAATAGTAAACTTGCTCTATATAGGACAGCATAAGATCATTGCTTGCATATAAGGTGTGTGTGTGTCTATTGAGATTTAACTTTATTATCATTGTGCAGTGTACATACAAAGACAATGAAACACAGTTGGCCTCTGATCAGAAATAGAGTAGTGATTAATATACTAAATATACTAATATACTAAAGTTTAAAATTTACAACGAGAAATATGCAATTCTTAAAGGGACACTATAGTCACCAGAATCACTACAGGTTAATGTAGTTGTTCTGGTGCCTATAGCCTGTGTCTAAAGCATTTTCAATGTAAATACATTTTCAGAGAAAGGTAGTGTTTACATGGCCACTGGAGAGTCCTGTGTCAATGCTGCATAGTGTGCAGCACCTATGTTCAACATGGAGGCACTAAATGTTACCCATAGAGAACATGTGCAATATCCGCACAATGCTTTCCTATAGGAAAGCATTGGCTTAGCGGAGATAATAAAGATTGATAATCTCAGTGATGGAGGTGGGACAAGCTGCGGCAAAACCGCCACAGCATGGGAAAAAAGGTGAGTAAAAACACCTCTCGTGTGATACCTAAAGAGACACACACTCTGACAAATAGACACAAACAGACTGTCTGACACACACACTGACAGGCACACACAGACACTGATAGAGGCATAAACACCCACACACTGACAGAAGCATATACACACATACACACACTGACAGAGACATGCTTACACATTCTCTCACACACACAGATTTACATTTTTAATTTTAATCCACCCAGCATCCCTACCTTTGGGAGAGCTGAGATGATCTTTCCCTGGGGTCCAGTGGAGCTGCTTTCTCTTCCAGCGTGCAAGCAAGCAGTAATCTACCTGCAGCTCCTCTCTGCTCCTCTGATGCCAGGGCCGGAATGACGTCATATTCCGGCTCCGGCATTACTATACAGCATGATGGAGCAGAGAGGAGCTGCTGGAAAATCACTAATCCCTCGTGCGCTGCCTCTGCCGACCACCTTAATGCTCCCCAGGGTGGACGGTTGACCACCTCAATGCTCCCCAGGGCGGGCGGCCAGCTACAACGCTCCCTTTAGCTAAAGGGCTGACAAATCCCAGGCACCAGGGCAAAATTTCTAGTTGCCATGGCAACCTGGGATTTGTCGAGCCCTGATATATATATATATATATATATATATATGTTTTTGGGAACATAATCTGGAAATGTGAGGTCTGAATGTGAAAAGGATTTGGTGCATTAACTAGACAATTTCATTATCAGACTGTGTACTGCAAATCTCAGAGTGCTGTAGAACCTGTTATAACATCCTATAAAAATCAATTCAACACTTTTTTTTTTTTAATTTCATTTTCCTCTTGTGAACCAACCCCACAGATGAACATTTATTTTACAATTACCTGTTGTTCACTTCCTCTTCTATCTCTTTTGCTTTATTCTGAAAACTAATTCCAGATGTTTTCTCCTAAATTGCAATTATAAAAAAAAAGCATGTGTGAAAATCTTTAAAGATGATACCTTCTACGTATCAATGCACCCCAAGCATAACAGACATGGGAACAGAAATGATTGGCTCCAGTTGTAAGAAGCTTTTTTACTCTTTACATTCATGGCAATTATACACTTGTGATAGCTTAAGCACTATATCCTCTCGTCCTTCTCAAGCATTGTTTTTGAATGCAGCCAAAGACCTTCTTTGGAATACTGAAGCTGGGTGAAAATGCTGTTCATTCCAAACCACGGCTGACAGAAGAAAAGCCTTGCTTAAACTAGTCTGTGATGGGAGATTATTGTAGTAAATTGACATATACTATTACAATGTATTGTTTATTTTCTTTCCACATATTCGACAATAATAGCAAAAAAGATAAAAAATATTAATGTTGTTCCTTGATTATTGTATATTAGCAGATTGACATTCATACTTAAATCCCAGCCTCAACATGGACTTTCCTTTTAAAATCTCTATTATAGTTCAAGCAAATATGTATTCTTTAAAGGACCACTATAGTGCCAGGAAAACAAACTTGTTTTCCTGGCACTATAGGGTTAATAGGTCCCCCCCTCCATCAGGGTCCCACTCCCACTGGGCTCTAGGGGGAGGAAGGGGTTAAGCACTTACCTTTCTTCAGCACCAGGCTCCCTCGGCGCTGGGGACTCTCTTCCCTCTTCTGACGTCATCGGCTGAATGTGCATGCGCGGCAAGAGCCGCGCGCGCATTCAGTCAGTCCATAGGAAAGCATTTCTCAATGTGTCTGAAAATCACAGTGAGAATCGCGGAAGCGCCTCTAGCGGCTGTCAATGAGACAGCCACTAGAGGCTGGATTAACCCATAGGTAAACATAGCAGTTTCTCTGAAACTGCTATGTTTACAGCAGTCAGGGTTAAAACTAGAGGGGCCTGGCACCCAGACCACTTCATTGAGCTGAAGTGGTCTGGGTGCCTATAGTGGTCCTTTAAATGATTAAGCTTTGTCTAATGGTGTGATCGGCTGTAACATGTTGAATACCTAAAGTTTTAGAAATCTGTTTTCTCTTTTTGCCCATCATCTTGCCAAGGTATATGTTAGGTTGTGTGCTGTTCGGTAGTACTATAGTATGCTGCATGGGCTCCTTAAATTGGTTATAATGCTTGTCTTGGTATGTAGGAAGGACATCTCACCCTCTACACACAATATTTGGGGAAGATATACAAAATATCAGAAAAGGACTCATGTAGCACAGCATATCGACTCACATGCACATGTCATCTGTCAGGTCCCCGGGCCGCTCCCAGCGCCCTTGCTTACTCCCTCACAGCGAGCCGCGTCTTCCGGTTCCTGTTCACGGCTTAAGGCTGTCTCTGCAAGCGCTCCCCAACCTGACAGTGTTTCTGACACTGCACGCTCCAAGGCAGCTTCCTTATATGTGTGTCAGACCCAGTCATGTGACCAGGCACACAGTGATGACCTCACTGATCACAAGAGAGGGAAAAGACACCTCCCACGTGTTGTAATTAACACTAATTGGAAGTTAGCCAATCAGACACACCCTGTGTGTATATAAGTTTACCTCCCCCTTGCCTCAGTGCCCTGTTGTGAGTGATTACTATGCACGGCTATGGGGCCCTTATGCTCATGAGGTCCACGGACAACTGCCCAGCATTCTGCATGGGTGTCTCCACTCTAATCTCTCCTGACTAAAGGGTCAAGTAAAAGATTGAGCACAGAAGAGCTGTTCCTTAACCCCTTAAGGACACAACTTCTGGAATAAAAGGGAATCATGACGGAATATTTCCGTCATGTGTCCTCAAGGGGTTAAAGACAGATTAGTCCTCTTCAGGCCCTGCAGAGTATCCACAGCAGAAGAATATCCAGAAGGGAGACACAGGAACAGATCACTACTTGGAGAAGCAAGTTTACATTGCTGTTTATATTACTCTTGCATTTATCAGCTATTTGCTCTGAGATAATGCCTGCAGGCATGGGATAGAACCAAGAAGGGACCATGAAGGGCACACAGGCATAGTATGCATGCATTAAGGGATGGGTGGAATTTGGGTGTTTCCAGGGGCTGAATCTTTGAGGAGTCATTCAAGTGTGCTTTGGGCTCCAGTCCCAGGTGTATTTGGGATATAGCAATGACCCTGCCCTTGAAGATGGCTGGATTATAGCACACAAGTAATGAGTGAGCCATTCCATTTCTAGATAGTTGAAAAAAATTAAAGCTAAGCAGTGAGACACATTCCATTGAGTGCCTTGTAAAATTTAAAAAATAGAGAGAGCTCCTTTTACGTCTTTTATAGCTACTGGTAACCTCACTATTCTCAGCCCAGGAAATCGCACCTTAAGGTAATGCTCAATATATATGTACAAGGATTAACAGCTAAATTATCACAAACTGTCACATCACCTAAATGGGTAGTGTACCTAACGTGAAGAACATGAAAGATTTGTTCACTGTCTTTGTTGCCATACTTTATTAACCTCATCACTAATATCACTAGGTATCCCAACATGGATGAGATATGAGGTAACTAATATTGGAGGACAATGTGCAAGCTGCATAACTTTTTTCTTAATCGGCTTAAATTTAAAGACCAGTTGGTCTACTCAGAATAGAGCGTCTGTGTGGAGAAGTTGTCCCAAAAGATTTGGTCATGAATCCAAAATATAAGCATCACCTCAAGATCCTGTTGGAACAGTTTAATTTGAAAGTGATGTAGCTACTGTGTTAATCTTTCATGTTAAATCAGGAGAGGATCCACCATATATTCAGATATTTGAATGACATAGGCTTAAGTTAGACTGATTTTTAATTCTGAGATCCTCAAAAGCTAGATATTTTTATTCATTTACAGATGACCTGGCTTGAGAGTTCTTTAAATGATTTCAAATGATTATTTTTAAATAATTTAGTTACTTTTATTTCATTCGAAGCCTTGTTCTTCTCTGCCCGTTTGCTGGTAAAAACATTCCTGACCACGCCAAGCTTAGATTTCTTTTCTATAATAGAAACATAAAAATTCAATCTTTAACAGGATTTTTGGATGGCCAGTTCATACAGAAATGTAAATTTTACGTTTCTTAAACTATGCTAACTAAAGAGCAAAGTTTTCAAGTTGGGGATGGAGGGTAAAATCTCATGCGATTAATTTTTGTGATTTTATTTTGCAGACACCACATAGTCAATATGCTAGTTATGTATTAGCCTTTGTATTCCTTGTTTGATTATAACAGTATTGTGAAATTGAAACGCAGCTCTAATGAGTTGGCCCAGAGAAGGCAAAAAAAAAAGCTCACTCAGATTTTAGCCTTCCAGGACATAAACCAGCATTGAACTTCATGATTAACTATTAACAGCTCTGCAGACGTTTAGGATGGAAAACAAGCATAATAAATGGAAACAAATTATAATTATGGGTAAGATTGTTAAAAACACCCATATTTGTCTTATGGTCTTCTTACCTATGATTACGTGCATAAAGTGCACAAAACAGGTTAGGTACAGGTTGATCTTATGTTATTTCAATTTTATAATGGAAGGCATTGACTGCTGTTGCTTCAAATAGAAGTTGTTGTTTATCATAGATATATTAACGATAGCAGCCTTCAACTCTACCTTTAGATAATTACTTGTTATTTTTACTGAAATAGTAAAACATTTATATTACCATTTAACACTGTTAAATCTACATCATTTTAAGTTGCTGTACCTCTATTTGAGTCTTTGCGCGATTCAAAGCTTCCTCCTCGATTTAGTTCTCCATTGTCATATGAATTCATATTTTCTGTATTAAGTCTGTGAAGTAATCACATAGTTTGGTTGCTGTGATCGCTTTTCAATATTTTTGTTGTATATTTAGTCTTCTTTGAGCCATTTCCCTGCCATTACGGGCAGATGTAGATGTTTATTCCACTCACATAAATTACAGGCTCATATTTCTATTCAAAATGCTAGAAATGTATAGATGAAGGGACGGTTATGACATGAACTGCTTCTCAGTAGAAAAGAAGATTGTGTGCACAAGCAATCCACTTGGACTTTATCCATTTTTTTTAGCGTAAAAAAGGAATATACTGATGGCTGAAATGTGAAGCCAAACCATGTTGAAGAATGTTAGAAACACTCTCTCTCGTATATAATATGCTAGGAATTCATTTTCCTTTTTAAGTTTGTACTGGGGTGTATATATCAATTTAACAGCATTTATTTAGTTTACATGGTATGAATGAAAGGCTGGAGCTGACAACTGAATCAAGATGAAAATCTGAGCTCTGAATGTGAACAAGATTTGGTGCATTAACTAAACAATCTCAATAGCAGACAGAGTGCTGTAGAATGCATTATAACATCCTAGAAAAATCAATTCAACGTCTTTTTTTATTTTATATTTTATATCCTCTTGTGAACAAACCCCACTGCGGAGTATTTAGGTTACAGGAACATTACCTGTTTTCGTCATGTTCGTTCTCATTCACTTTATTCTGAAAACTAATTATAGGTGTTTCCTCCTAAATTGCAATTATAAAAAAGCAAATGTTAATTTTTTTTTAAGAAGATACCTTCTACGCATCAATGCACCCCAACCATAACAGGCATATGAACCAAAATTAATTATTATTATTTTATTATTTATATAGCGCCATCAGATTCTGTAGCGCTGTATTAATGGCTCAAACTGTAAGAATGGTTTTCACACAAAATCCTGAGAAAAAATTACTTAAATGAGAAGCTCTCTAAGATATTTTACAGTCAGCATTTTTAACCTTGACTGGTTTTAATCCATTTATGGATTTATGTATGGCATAAACAGAACAAGCCTTGTTCTTGCACCTTTGAAACATACTGTTAAAGTCTAACACAGTGCTTTTAAGACAGCTTTGTGCAAAATTATAAGAGATTAGAACCAACCTGACATTTTGTAGAATTACTCAATTTTATAGATGGAAATCTGCCAAAATTTAATATTCTGGAAACCTAGGCTGACTGCTGAGAGCAAAATACCCTATAACCATAAAACAATACTCTGCAAACAAAAGAGGTGTTTATTCAATAAACAAAATCTGTCATAACATAACTAAATTGCACATTTAAGCAACAATAGCCAAGATGGAAATTTGTTAAAAATCTTATTTTTACCTACAATTTGAAATTAAAATTTTAAAATGTAAAATAATTCTGCTGCCAGAATTTTATCTCCAGTTCTGGCAGTGTCATTGGGGCATCGTTAGCAAGTCCAACGCAAGAGTTCCGGGCTGGTTAATGTTAATTTGTATAATTTGCATAAATAAAATTGCATTCATTGGCTGAGAATGGTCAGTTGATGCTCTCAACCAATGAATGGTGACTGGATCGGCTTCCGGCTTCGGTAGCTCTTCAGAAGCCGGAAGCACATCACCAGTGTTGAGAGGAGACCAGGAGGCCGGTGGGGACCAAGGTAAGAGGAGAAACTTTTACTCAACAGTTTACACCATTACTGGAGAACTGAGCCACAGTACTCCTGGCAGCATAACCACTACATTGGCTGTTGTAGTTCTGATACTTTGAGTAACCCTTTAAAGTAAAGATTTATGAAAATTGTACTTGTCTAGGATGATATAAATGCATAATATCAGATTGATGATTTTAGAACAGTTCATCTTAGAGAGACGATAATCAAATATACATACCAAATGTTTTTTCTTCTTGGTCTTCAACCAGTCTATGAGGAAGGTCTTAAACTGCACAGCTTCTCTGCTCTCGTTATCATACGGCTCCAAGTAATATGATGACCCGGTAACAAAAGTTATCTTTAGCCTTCCACTTTCTGCATCGATTACCGTAATGCTAACCAGTGTTAATGGATATAACCTAAAGTAAAGAATGTCTGAACATTTACACCACAAACTTCCACAATGCCTAGGACAGACATTTTACTCATGATAACCAGGCAACATTAAAGGGACCCTCCACTACCCAAATAAAAAATTAAGTTTAGATACCACCAATGAAAACATGCATGCATTTAATTACACATTTTATTAATTTAAGCATGATTTAAAAAAAAAGCTGTAATTTTTTTTGTCTGAATCATTTGCAAGCAAACACCTACTTCCCAAGCATAAATCCTTTGTCGCTGTCCAGTCACAGACTTTCCAGCTCATTGAGAAGTTTCTGCAAGGCAGGTGCTCTGGGCAATTGCTACTTTTTGAGATGAGCTCTATTGAGTTAAACAACCAGGAAGTAACAGAACTGGATGTCTGATTGACAACCAGGGGGGTGTAACAAAGTTAATTTATAAAAGCCAATTTTTATTAAAATAAAATCAATGTCTTTGGAAACACCAATAAATTTACATATTGCCCTGCGTTTGGTTTTGTTCAGTAAGTTTTTTTTAAATCAAGCTACTTTTGATGATTGTGGAGTATTTTGTAAAAGATTAAGAGAATTCTGTGATAGATTCTGCACCTTTGCTTGATTTGTGCTATGAGTTCCAGAAGGCTGGATAGGCATTAATGGATATGCCCATTGTAGTTCACAAACATGTCTACTGCTAATATTGTTGATCAGCATTTTAGGAAATGCTTAACACTAGCAAGTAAATACAGTAAATGCTTATGCTTATTTACTGGAGTTTACTGTAACCTAAATACTCCGCAGTGGGGTTTGTTCACAAGACATGCTTATGCTTATTTACTGGAGTGCAAGAAACAGAAGTGGAATACCGCGCCAATAAAATATAAAAAGTATATACATACAAGATTGTTCAACACTATAATGATTGGATGTCAGCCTTATAGAGAAAAGACATAAAATATGGACAATAATAGTGCAATATGTCAAATAAAATAATATATTCTAATATGCAATATACGGAAAGCTGGTAGAAGGACTAACTCACACTTTCCAGAGCTACTAAGAGCTCTGCTGTATAGCGCCTGGACGGTATAATCCCCGTCTTAGGATATGAGATCAATGATGAGGCGTCGCTTCTAAGTCTCCACAGTAGTACATAAAACAGAAAACAGATAAAATCCAATAGTGCAGTATATCTGGTGAGTAATGTATGGTAGAGAAGGTAAGTATCTTACTTACAATTTCCAGAGCAATGAACTTGCTCTGGTGATGACAGCTTGAGGTGGTATAATCCCCACCTGAGGATTTAGGAAGGGTCCAAGGTGCACCAGGAACAGAAGATATATGAGGGAGCAGAGTATAAATAAAACTATAAATTTATTATAAAATAGTACAAAATATATAATATATAACAATAATATAATCAATAATAAGTCTCTGGCTCCAACTTAACGCGTTTCGCCCTACACAGGGCGACCGCAAATTCAGTCCTTGTTATATAGGGTTCACCGATTCACTCATTCTGTTCCGGTGTGTGCACTCTTCCGGTTTCCGGCGCTGTCGCGTGCGTCGACCGGAAATGACGCAACGCGACTCGCCGGGACTGCTGGGTATTGTAGTATCTTCATTGGTATTGACGCCGGAAGTTGCGGACGTCACCCGGAAGTGACGTAACGCAACTGCTGGTGGTGACTGGGAAATGTAGTAAGAAGTAGTTACTCATAACAATCGATCTTTCAAACAGCGCAAAGTATTAAATTTACACATAATTTTATAACATATACACATATAGAGGAAATACAAAGTATAAAAGGTACATACATAATTAATACAAAGCTTCATAAAATAATATACAGTGAAGTAAAATAAATAAGATAAAAGAAAGACAAGTGAACCTTTGTGGTATTAATTCATACAACCCAGCAATGTGTAAAATTATGTTTATAAACATAGGAGAGGGGGAATTCTAGACAGCATAATAAGAAGATGGTAATGAAAAATATTAAACTCACTAATAGAAAACTGGATAAGTTAAAAAAAAAAGAATGTATATAATATACAATTTATAAAAAAATAATAAATTATAAAAAATTAAAAAGATCGAATTCGGCATTTAGGCCGTTAGGGTGCAGGGTATCTAAAAAATATACCCACTCCATTTGTTTTTTTCCCAATTTTTTAATAATATCGCCCCCTCTCCAATGTTGGGATAATCTCGTGATGCCCACAAATTTCAACAGACGTGGATCTTTATTGTGCTGTTCAAAGTGGGAAGATACCAAGTGATTTTTAAATCCTTTCTCAATGTTTCTACAATGTTCTCCAATTCTAATTTTAAGGGGTCTAATGGTTCTTCCTATATACTGTAGTCCACATGGACATTCCAACAAATAAATTACATTTTTGCTCATACATGTAATCGTCTCTTTAATTTCATATTCTTTGTTAGTATTATATGATTTAAATTTAGACGTATGTTTATTGGTCTTCTGAGTTTTCTTACATGCTACACAGCAATTACATCTAAAAAATCCTTTCTTATTGTTTAGAAAATTATCTACAGCTTTCGAGTTTTTTTGTTTTGTATAATTTTTTGTGAGTTGCATCTTTAAATTCGGGGCACCTCTAAATACTATTTTTGGGCGGTCGGGGATAATTTTCCCTAGAATTGTGTCTTCTTTTAGTAAATGCCAATTGTTTCTGATTATTTTCTGCAGTTGTTTATTCTTATTATTATAGTCCAGAACTAAAGGTAACGCAAAATCCTTTTTATCTTTATTTTTATTTAGAGCTGTCTTGTTTATCAAATTCTTTCTGTCTATCTTTGTTACTTCTTTTATAGTTTCTTCTATTATACTCCCATTATAGCCTTTTTCAATAAATTTCCCTTTCATTTCATTAGCCTGAATTTCAAAGATGGTGTTTTCTGAACAATTTCTTTTTAATCTAAGTAATTGGCTTTTAGGGATACTACTAAGCCAACTCTTATTATGACAGCTGTCTATTGTAATAAAATTATTCACATGTACTTCTTTAAAATGTGTTTTTGTATGAATTCTTTTGTCTTTAATATAAATATCTAAATCTAAAAAGGTAACATTAGTATAACTAAAATCTGCTTTTAAAATAATACCATCATCATTTTTGTTTAAAAATTCTATGAAGTGATTAGCCGTAAGAAGGGGGCCTTTCCAAACCAATAAAAGGTCATCTATATATCGAAAATAGGCAACCAGGTTCTCCACCCAGCCATGTCCACTCCACACCATTCTCTCCTCCCATTCCGTCATAAAGAGATTGGCATTGCTGGGTGCGAACCTGGTCCCCATAGCTGTCCCATTCTTCTGTAAATAAAAAGAGTCCTTAAACCAGAAGTAGTTGTTATTAAGAATGAGAAAAATACCCTCAATAATAAAATCTATTTGTTCTAGTTTCATCTTATTATGTCTTTCTAAAATTCTTCTTACAGCACCGCAGCCTTTATTATGTTGAATTATAGTATATAATGATTGGACATCACAAGTAATTAGTATATAATCATCTTTCCAATCAATGTGCTCTAATTTATTCAAAAGATCTATTGTATCTTTAAGATATGATTGACTTAATTTAACATACGGCTGTAGTAATATGTCTATGTATTCCGATACATTAGACAAGACGGAATCTATACCGGAGACGATAGGTCTCCCAGGGGGTTTCTCAAGACATTTATGAATTTTGGGTAGAAAATATATCACAGGTATCTTTGGAAATCTCTTATAAAGATAATTGTATTCATCAATATCTAATATTTTTTTCCTTCCGTTGGTCTAGGAAAGCTTTCAACAGAATTTTCACTTCCGGGGTAGGGTCTTTTAATAACTTCATATATGTTGAACTATCACTTAGTTGCCTAAGTGCTTCTTCTTCGTACATTTCTGCTGATAAAATTACTAGACCTCCTCCCTTATCCGCAGGTTTAATAACAATAGTTTCATCTTGTTGTAATTCTTTTAGACCTTCTCTCTCTTTTCTTGTTAAATTATTTATATCACCTTTATTTCTTATATTTAGGTCTCTAATACTTTTAGACACCTTTTTCTCGAACATGTCTATTGCACTCGATTTACAGTGTGCTGGGTAAAACTTAGATTTATTTTTTTTTAAACTTTTTACATAAGCATGACTTTCTACATCATTTGCAATTTCCTTATTGGCAGTATTACTTTTGCCCATGTAAAATCTTTTAAGAGTGGCATTGCGTACGAATTTGTTAACATCAATATATGCCAAAAAGGGATTAAATGTTTTCGTAGGCACATACTTCAATCCTTTATTTAATATTTTTAGTTGAATGTTTGTCAAAGATTTGCCTGATAAATTAAAAATCCCTTTCTTTTCATCTTCGGCTATATCTTTTTCTAACATCGCTCGGTTCTACCTTTTTTGTTTTCTTCGACCTGACCGATCGGTAAATTTTGCCGATCGGTAAACTTCTGAGGAAGCCCTGTTTAGGGCGAAACGCGTTAAGTTGGAGCCAAAGACTTATTATTGATTATATTATTGTTATATATTATATATTTTGTACTATTTTATAATAAATTTATAGTTTTATTTATACTCTGCTCCCTCATATATCTTCTGTTCCTGGTGCACCTTGGACCCTTCCTAAATCCTCAGGTGGGGATTATACCACCTCAAGCTGTCATCACCAGAGCAAGTTCATTGCTCTGGAAATTGTAAGTAAGATACTTACCTTCTCTACCATACATTACTCACCAGATATACTGCACTATTGGATTTTATCTGTTTTCTGTTTTATGTACTACTGTGGAGACTTAAAAGTGACGCCTCATCATTGATCTCATATCCTAAGACAGGGATTATACCGTCCAGGCGCTATACAGCAGAGATCTTAGTAGCTCTGGAAAGTGTGAGTTAGTCCTTCTACCAGCTTTCCGTATATTGCATATTAGAATATATTATTTTATTTGACATATTGCACTATTATTGTCCATATTTTATGTCTTTTCTCTATAAGGTTGACATCCAATCATTATAGTGTTGAACAATCTTGTATGTATATACTTTTTATATTTTATTGGCGTGGTATTCCACTTCTGTTTCTTGCACTTTTTCTGACTATTAGCAGGTATTGGGAATCCCTGCTGGTTTGCTGCTGCCGTATTTGTAGTCACTATAGAGAGCACCTACATACTTTAAGTACCGTTCATTTGACATAAACCAAATAGTACCTAGTCAACTTCATAGGTTCAAGTTTTGCACAAATCGGATCTTCATTAACTAATAGTTCTGCTATGAAAAGAACTTCAGCTGGGAGAGTTGGATCAATAGAAGCAATACCCAGGATGAGTACAGGTGTAGGGCATGAAATGCTTACACCACAACCATTTTCCAAAACCTGAAAAAAAAGAGTAATATTTTTCAAAACAATAATGACTTTTATTGAAAATCACTGGAGTCTAAACCATGAGCCAACTAACTGTACTTAATGTACGGATACATTTTTGCATGATGGATACACATATAATTAAAAAAAAAAATAGAGGGAAGAAAAGGTAACGTATGGGACAGCATATTTAATACGAAATGCCATCATACTCGTTCGTTTACAATAGAACTTGGAAATCTGACTCTTGATCAATAACTCGAACAGGGAGATGTTAAATAGCTTGCACCATACAAAATTAGGTCCTGTGCTGAAACCCTGCTCAGATAACTTTTTGGGACTTTATTCCATGTATTGGGGTGGAAGTGTGCTATGGTCATTGCTGCAGCTCAGGGGTGATGGGAGTTTGAGTGCAGGGCCTAATGTAGTATGCTTGTATATGTTTTTGTATTACACAAACATGTTACAGTGCATCTCATATGCAGCCTATTAAGGGTTAATAGGTGTATAGGGGTGTGTGTATCTGTGTGTCAGATTCATACACACTGACACACAGATACACACACTGGCACATCCAAACACAGATACACACACCTTGATACACAGACACACACCGGCACATACAAACACAGATACACACTTTGACACACACAGATAAACACTGTGTGTCAAGGTGTGTGTATCTGTGTGTCAGTGTGTGTATCTGTGTACCACTATGTGCCAGTGTGTGTGTGTATCTGTGTGTCAGATACACACACACACACAGATATGCATTGACAAACAGATACACACACTGGCAAATACAAACACAGATACACACATCTTGACACACCGGCACATACAAAAAAATGAATTTTTTTTTCTTTAACCTTGGGGGTTTGTGGGGGTTTCAAGGTGTTGATACACTATGTCAATGGGTTCCACAGGAAGAAATTAACCCCTGATCTACACTATTAAGCAAGGAGATGCATTCATTATACATGACTTAAAATGTGTTATTTACCATAGTAATTATAGATTATTTGAATATTTTTTTAAACACAAATTAAAAAAAACAAAAAACCTTTAGAAATAGAAGCATTACCTGCACAAACGTGCACTCAAACATTGTGGAATGCTTAAACATGTAATATTCTCCTCCCTTAAGGAATCTCTGTAGTTTCCCATAGCCTTCCAATGGTGTGGATGATTCTTGACATGTGTCCTTCAGCTCAAGTTCGACTGTATTTCTGTCCATTGCTATAAAGGTGTTTGGAAAAAATGAAAACGTGTAGCAAATTGTTAACAGAAGAACATCTAATGGTAAACAATAAACATGAATAACATGATGATTTTGTCTCACGTCCCGTGAAAAGCAGATCTTACCTAAAGGACAATAGAAGTATACCGAGACTCCTAAAAGATTTTGAATGGAAAGAGGATATGGTTCTGGTAGCTTGTGATGTATCAGTTATACACCATTCGCTCAATAACTTATGGCACGTGTGCCATGCATGACCATAGAGGTGCCTTTGCACGGCACTCAAGGCTGCCAGAGCCAAACAGGATCCGGCCTATCAGGAGTTGCACTGGGACTTCAGAAAACTGCTAGTGCAAGCTGAGTCATTTTCAGAAATACGCAGAAGTGGCAGTGGAGACTTGGAATGAATCCCAGCCCAGTGTGGAGCACATCTATTAAAGGATACCCTGACTTAAAGAAAGGTTGTTTGACTTTTAAATTTATTTTTTGAATATATTCATATGGCGACAAGTTCTACCTACAAATTAAAGGGACACTTTACTGTAGTTGTTCTGGTGAGTATAATCAGTGCTTGCAGGCTTTTTGCAGTAAACACTGTCTTTTCAGAGAAGATTAAGTGTTTACATTACAGCCTAGAGATACCTCCAGTGGTCACTCCTCAAATGGCTGCTAGAGGTACTTCCTGGGGGAGTGCTGCAACGTGTACCGTACTTACATTTAGTGTCTCCACCCTCTGCATGGAGACACTGAATTATCCTCATAGAAATGCAATGGTTCAATGCATATCTTTCCTGGTAAATTTTTTTATGAATAAATAAATCTCTATGAGGAGATTCTGAGTGGCAAGGGTTTTGTTGAGCTGGTACTGGCTCTGCCCGTGAAAGAATGTATTAGGGAGAAGACAACCACCAAAAGCATTACAACTTGGCTCAAGGTGACAGCTTAGACAAATAAAGTAGGCAAAGGAGCATTATGAAGGGAGTAGAGGAAAAACATAATAATGCAGTGGAGAAATAAAGGCTTAGATCTCTGAGGCAATAACTGAGAATCACAGCTGGGACAGGTCACCCCATAACTGCAGTCCACTCAACTAATGCCTTTAGCAAACAGGCAAAGTCCAAGCAGGAGTATAGAATAATTGTAAGGAACCTCCTTGGAGTCAATGTTTTGCCGCTGCCATCCAGCTCCCACAGCTACATGCTCCTTTCCCTATAATCAGGGGCTCTAAGGATAGCAGAAAAGCCTATGCCAGGGGTAGGCAACCTACGGCACTAGTGCCATGCACGGCACTCGAGGTGTCTTTGCACGGCACTCAAGGCTGCTAGAGCCAAGCAGGCTCTGGCCTATCAGGAGTCCCATTGAAACTTCAGATATCTGTTAATACGAAAAGGTGGTGAAGGACAATCCTCAATTTATGCATTGCAGCACAAAGAGTAAGTGATTTCAGATCACTTCCTCCCAGCACTTGTGAATGGGAATCCACACTGTAGTAGAGCAGCCTGCAGCTGCTGTTGCAGCTCCTGTCCTGTACCTGGCCAGCCTGGTCCCCACTGGAACCCAGGGAAGCCACTCACACTGCTAGATATACACAGAAATGCAGAATAAGCCTCCACTCATACAAATAACACAAACAGCCCACACACAAACACAAAACACAATCTGCACAAACATAACCCGCTAACAATCCACATACATGCACACAATCTCACATGCAATACCCCAAACAGCCCCCACACATACACACACTACCAAACACACAATGTGAAATATCCCACTACACAATTCCACAAGCAGCCCCCATACACAGCACACATTCATAGGTATCATACACAACATCACAAACTACTTGTAAACATATACAATATAATAGCTCATATACGCACAAATACAACAATACAAAGCAATTACAGTATAAATAACACAAGCAGAATACGGCAGCATACACACCTCAATTTAAAAAAATAGGACCGGCACGCTACGGGACATCACAATCCTATATCGGCACAGTGCTGCCAAAAGGTTGCCTACCCCTGGCCTATGCAGTTCCAGTCAGAGGGATTGGTCGCTTCCTCCACATGAGGCCGCAACCTGTCAGAGGATACAGTGGTGTCAAACCAATTGTAGATAGACCCAATATCCGTCTGGGGTATAGGAAATCCAAGAATAATTCATCAGCACTAATTACACAAATGCATCCGGTGCGGGGTGACCTCGCAGGAAGTTTATCAGGCAGAAATTTGAGTGCTAGAGCCTCAAACATGAATTTATTTTATGAACAATGCAATTAATAGACCCTTTCTTTGCGAGGCGGCAAATAAAGCTCATGTAAAAGATGTCATCTCCTGTATATAGTCAAATCGACATATGTTAAGCATTCATTGTTTCCAATATAATTGGATTAATTAATACAAAAAAAGTACAATCATGTACAAGGGTTGTCTTCAAGCATATAGCGTCAGCAGTAAAATCAAGAAGAAAGAGAGAAAACATAATGCTGTAAACCTTAGTACAATTATAATACAAATGTAAAATATTTAATAAAATAACAAAAACAAGCTGTATTCACAAATATGTGTTTCGTCTCAATTCGTGTTGCTTCCTTAGTTTGTGACTCACAGACACCAAAATTAACCTATAAAGAAATAAACCATAAGAATAAAGAAGATATGCATAACTCAAAACGGACCAACGGACTGATTGTTCTGAGCGCCAACCAGTTATTAAACAGCATGGAAACAATAAGGTGTTGGATATGATTTAGGTCCTATTTCCATGCATCAGAGCTAATATGTTTCCTATTCATTTGAAAGAGAGTGATCAATTTACCATTTTTTTTTCTATGCGGGTTTGTTAGCTACATATTTATCTATTCATTGATCATTTAGTAACCTGTATAATTAAGTAAAAAGACCATCCATGTCTAAACTGTTTGACATGCAACGCAATGATGCATGGAGAATACTTTTGCCATTCTTACAATGATAAAAGATACAGTGTTAATATGTATCACAGAATATATATCACGGAATACGAAGTCTACATGCCAAAATGTCTGTGTGGGTTGATTTATGTGGGGACACAACCCAGAAAATGCAAGAGAGGTTCTTGAAACATAAGCCGGCCATACAAACAGGTTTAGTAGATGCAACTGTCATCTCATTCAGCTGCTACCAAAGTTACCATACATTGTCTCTCTGGTTATCATCTCATCAGAGATATTAAAAATAAACACGGGAGGCTGCTAATGATAAGCTGTTAAATGTTTCAGGCATTGTTTCACATAAACCCACCCTTTTTTCTCGACCTTGACTACAAGAAAATGTGTAAAACACCTAATATATGACATACTATAACTCAACACAAGAAAAAGATATTAAATGTTTATTGTACAAGTATAAGAAATGTAGTGTGCCTTTAAATTGTTATTTTCTATTTAATATATAGGCATATGTCTATGTCTATATAGCGTAAGCTATCTAGTTTCACAATGGAAGGTCATTTGCATATCAGAAGAGCATATATGACTTCTTTAGTTTTTGGGAACAAGCCTTTACAGTCTTTATTTACTAAAGAGGATTGCAGTTTTGCCATAGGCTGTCTCATTTATAATTGGGTTACACAGGTTTGTTGGAACTCTCTTCAAAAAGGGATTGGATGAACCACTTTCTGGGGGGTACAAGGGATTCTGAGACAGCGAAACTGCTCCAAGATGAAGGAACAAGGAGAATATCTTCCTTTAAATGTTTAAGTATTGCTCCATTACTGTGTATCTATTGATTATTGATTGAATGAGTTTATAATGTGTACTGTGTATTTTCTTTTAAAACCTCTATCCTAAGTCAATATTAATATACTGACCAGTTAAATGCTTCGTTTTATCAATAAAATACATCCTTGACAGTTAAGGCTTGTGTTTTTTTTTCCCATTGTGGTGAATAATAAATTCATAATATAAAACCTCCCCAACATTGCTATAATACATCCTTGACAGTTACAACCTAATTCTTTTCCATCTCTGTAAATATATGAGGTCTATTCTTCAACATTATCCCACTTTCCATGTTGCTATGACATCATATACAAGGATCACTACTTAACGTATAACAGTTCACAAGTGTTATCCAAAAGACTGCCCCAACACATAAAGTACAGCTTAAAGGACCACTATAGTGCCAGGAAAATATACTCATTTTCCTGGCACTATAGTGCCCTGAGGGTGCCCCCACCCTCAGGGTTCCCCTCCCACCAGGCTGGATGGAGCTGAAGGGGTTTTAACTTACCTCTTTCTCCAGCGCCGGGCGGGGAGCTCTCCTCCTCTTCTCCTCCTCTTCGGCTGAATGCGCATGCGCGGCAGGAGCCGTGCGTGCATTCAGCCAGTCCATAGGAAAGCATTCACAATGCTTTCCTGTGGACGCTGGCATCTTCTCAATGTGATTTTCACAGTGAGAAGCGCGGAAGCCCTCTAGCGGCTGTCAATGAGACAGCCACTAGAGGCTGGATTAACCCTAATATAAACATAGCAGTTTCTCTGAAACTATGTTTATAGAAAAAAAGGGGTTAACCCTAGATGGACCAGGCACCCAGACCACCTCGTTAAGCTGAAGTGGTCTGGGTGCCTATAGTGGTCCTTTAAGTGTTATTTGGAAGAGAGACATGCTCATATATTTTATAGTCATTATGCCTACCTCTCTGCTATATTTATCAAAGATAGAGTCCCATACACTGGAGACCTTCTATTCCTCACACAATTTCTCTATTTGCCAGTATAGTTATTTATTGTACTATAGCTGGTGGACAGATGATTTACACACCCTATAACCCAAAACACCTTTCCAGCGTAACCACAATAACTAGGAACAATATAAGTTCCTGTGAAATTTGATGAAAAAAAAATCTTATTCCATTTAACTCTAGTCTCATTACTAATTGCACAGTACTGTTTATATGTCAGCAACTGCCATCCCAAGTTTCACTACGGTACATATAGTATTGATTTAAATGTGGATTTTACACTATCACTACTGCTTAAGGAGTTGTCTTGTCATGAGGAATATTTTTCCACATACATGTGTAAAAGTATTATATAAAGAGTACTACAAAGTTGTTACTGCTCTTGTCCTTAATAGGATTGTCTGTCTCTTCATTTATTGTCCACATAAGGATACCTCTAGGGGGTGCCTTCCTTTTACGTTACATGTTTTTGTATATATGCTTTTAAGTGTGACTTAGATGTTACATGCGTGATCCAAGCTTCATTACCATACTGTACAAACAGCATATAAATAGGTGCTAGAAATCAGAACACTCACACTTTTTAGAGCCCATTAGAAGTTGGCTCTGAACCTATATGGCATGTATGTCTCCCCAAGGACACAGTATTCATTTCTCCAGAGGTAGAAGTCCCAAAGATGCAGTGATGCTTGAGTGAGAAACTCCCAAAATTGGCAAGTAAGTAAATATTTATTAATTAGTATCATACATAAACAAATAAAAGTATAAGCACAACGAGTTTCAACCCGGGCTGGGTCTTCCTCAGGTGCAGGTATACATACAACTGTCACAAATATCTTTATATACCTTACAAACATATTCATTATTTGCTAACACACGCATGCAATCTAACAAAGAACACTCCCATCGCCAGGGCCGAATTCACATAGGGGCTGATGGAGCTGTTGCCCATTAGGCCCATTGCCAGGTATTTCTCAGGTATTTCTTAAGGTTGCCAGGTATTTCTCAGAAGCATTAGTCAAGTATTTGAGACTGCCTAGCCGGTGCCGGTATTGCAGTAATACCGGCAACACAAATGTCAGTCTCAGTATGCAATACCAGCACCGGCCAGTAGGGGTCGCTGTGTGTGTGTGGAGAGAGGTAAGGAAGTTACAGCATCTCCCTCCCTGCCTCTCTCTACTCACTGATCCGCAGGGGAGCAGCTCTGCACAGAGTCCAGACAGCAGCTCTGAGCCTGCAGAGACAGCCAACAGCTGAAGTAAGTGAGGGATGGGAGAAAGGCTGTAGGGGACACATGGGGGCACTGAGACACTAGGGGGCACTGAGACACTAGGGGAAACTGGGAGACATAGGGACACTTGGAGACATGTGGACACTGAGACACTGGAGAACATGGGGACCCTGAGACACTAGGGACACAGTGGCCCCATGTCTCCCAGTGGCTCCTAGTCTATCAGTGTCCCCATGTCTCCCAGCCAGTGTCCCCATGTGTCCTTGGTGTCTCTGTGTCCCCATGTCTCCCAGTGTCCCTGATGTCTCTGTACCTAGTCTAGCAGAGTCCCCTAGTCTCTGTGTCCCCATGTATCTCAGTGTCTCCATGTCTCTCCCAGTGTCCCTCAGTGTCTCCATGTCTCACAGTGTCCCAATGTCTCTAAGTGTGTCCTTGTGACATGGGGACAGAGACTCTAAGGGACACTGGGAGACATGGGGACAAAGACTCTAAGGGACACTGGGAGACATGGGGATACAAACACTAGGGGACACTGGGTGATATGCGGATACTGAGACACTAGGTGACACTGAGAGATATGAGGACACTGGACAATTTTGAGACTGGGGAGACACATGGGGCACTCAGTGTCCCCATGTCTTCCCTGGTGTCTCTCAGTGTCCGTAGTGTGCCAGTATCCCTAGTGTCTCCCAGTGTCTCAGTGTCCCCTAGTATAAAGGGTAAAAACTCAGGCACTCATTGTGATAGATTTCAGCAGGTTTATTGGACACCGCAACATTTCAACTCCCAGTGTCCCCATGTCTCCCTGCCAGTGTCCCTAGTATCTCGATGCCCCATGTCTCCCAGTGTCCCTGGTGTCTCTGTGTCTGTAGTGTCTCGGTGTCCTTAGTGTCTCATTGTCCCGTAGTCTCCCCATGTATCACAGTGCCCCCACGTGTCTGTGTCCCCTAGTATAAAAGAAAACAATCTGAGTCACTCACTGTGATAGATTTAAGCAGGTTTATTGGACCCCACAACATTTTGACTTGTACCCAGGTCTTTATCAAGTCTTCAGTGTCCCCTATATATCACAGTGTCCCCTATGTATCACAGTGTCTCAGTGCCCCGTGTCTCCCAGTGTCCCTTCGTGTCTCAAAGTCACCCAGTGTCCCTATATCTCCCATTGTCCCAATGTCTCTCAATATCCTCTAGTGTCCTAGTGACATGGGGACACTGGGAGACATGGGGACACAGATATGCCCCTTTTTTGGGTATGTTAGCCCCTTTTGTCAGTTCTGGTTATGTGATTTGCATCAGTGGCCCACCCTTTTACCCTGTCCATAAACTTCCTGCTTCACTGGACACTGCTGTTAGTGGGTATAGATTTACTTGAAAGATGAAAGTGTGAGATTAGTATAGGGTATAGCTGCATCCTATGAGTTTTGCTCCATCACCATCTCCATCAGATACTTGGGACTGTTTTAGTGCTTTTGGTCGATAAGATTTTGTAATTAGGCCCATCTTAATTGTCAGCACCAGGCCCACTGTGCTCTTAACTTGGCCCTGCCCATCGCCAAATATGATCCGGTTCCTGGATGAAAAATTCAGCTTCTTCCAACATGCCTTCCGACTTCCGGATCCTCTGTTTATTTCCTTGCCGCCTCCCCTGGCTGTACCGGCGGACATTCTCCAGTGTTGCAACAAGTCCGACACACTTGTGAGGGGGAGCTCACTCCCCCTATCTCCCAACAAAAAAACTGGTCAAACACAAACGTCTGATCCAACGGGTGCCATTTTGGAAGGGGGCAAAAGTCCATAGTTCATATTGTAAGAGAGGGCAAAATAGTAAAAGACAAATATTAGGATAAAAACAGAGAAAAAAAACGAATTTGTGCACTTATTTTCAAACATTTATTTTCTTAAAAACTATACACTTAAGTAATAATCCTTAAAAATCAATAATTCTTGCTAAAAAAATAGATATAGACATAAACAATATATCCTGACAAAAATTAAATAACTTAACTATATATATATATATATATATATATGTGTGTGTAAAAAAGAAAAACTGCAAAAAAATATTTAAAAGACTAGCTTTATCAATATACCTATACATGGGTTATTAAAAAGCAAGGCAATTAAAAGGGGAAAGGGAAGGAGAAGGAAGAGAGAAGATCTTCCTTTAAATGTTTAAGTATTGCCCGTTTTCTGTGTATCTATTGATTATGGACTGGATGTGGATCTTTTAAAACCTGTAACAGTGACCTATGTCAATCAAAGGCTGACGTCAGGGGTCCAAGATAATTTCCTAGTAGGACTTCAGCAGGCTTATCTCTCATAATAGCTACTTCCACGTGGCAGGCTCCAGCTCCCCAATCGAGATGCACTTGGGCAGTGGGTAACCGGTGGATGGTGCCTCCGGCTACTCGTACGGTCACTGACTTCCGCAGATTTTCTGCGTCTCCAGCCAAATGTCGTTGAATGAGAGTCAGGGTAGCCTTGGTGCCCCTGAGGCCCTGGGCAGTTTGCCCGTTTACCATCAAAAATTGGCAGTGATGCTGGCAACAGATGCAGCTTGCAGATGCAGCTTGGACCGGATCTGCCTCATGCAGAGTAACCCATGATTCTTCGGTCCCTGGTCCCTCCCATTCAGTGGAGGAATCCAGGCAGTGGGCTTGAGCTCGCGGGGCTGGCGGTCTCGGCCGGATTGGTTTGCTGCGGTTGGCATCCATCGGGCACTTCCTCTGGACATGTCCGAAGGCCTGGCATCAGAAGCAGCGATCCTGCTGGGTCCAGTCGTATCATCTATGTGTAGTGGGTCGTGAAGCGTGGGGGAGTGTTGGACATTAAACCAACTCATCTGAAATTAAGGTACGAAACAGTGTATGATCTGGTAAACAAATACATAATAAAGAAAAGCAACTAGCACAAGCTATCTATAATCAGAGGAGGCCAGTCGAGGCTGAAATGGAGTAATGTTCGCAGGGTCCCATTTGTGGGTTGGTTTAGATGCTTATACTGGGTGGGAAGCGTCCATACCGGGAAACTTCCAGGTGGGCCGTCGGCACCCTGGCCGGGTAGACATTTGGGTGACCTGCGGCCGCAGGGAGAGCTTGGATGGCGGCCGCAGGGGAGCTGGCTGTTCTGTCTCTGCTCCCCCGCCCTCGCGCGCTACTTAATTAGACCGGGGCCGGAATATGACGTCATATTCCGGCCCTGGTCTCATTAAGCTGCGTGCTAGGGAGCAGGAGACAGAACAGCTAGCTCCCCTGCGGCTGCCAGAACAGCTCCCCCTGCGGCCGCCATCCAAGCTCTCCCTGCAGCCGCCAGCACACCTATCAGTCTGCCCACCTACACAGGTAGCAACAAGTATGTATGACAGTCTGTTAGTGGGAGTGTATGTGTGTGTGTCTGTCATGGTGTGTGTGTCTGTCTGTGTCATGGTGTGTGTGTGTGTCTGTCTGTGTCATGGTGTGTGTGTCTGTCTGTCTGTCTGTGTCATGGTGTGTGAGTGTGTGTCTGTCTGTGTCACGTTATGTGTGTGTCTGTGTCACGGTGTGTCTGTATCATGGTGTGTGTGAGTCTGTGTGTGTCATGGTGGGTGTGTGTGTGTGTGTGTCTGTCTGTGTCATGGTGTGTGAGTGTGTGTCTGTGTCATGGTGTGTGTGTGTGTCTATCTGTGTCATGTAATGTGTTTATGTCTGTGTCACGGTGTGTGTGTGTCTGTGTCATAGTGTGTCTGTGTCATGTTATGTCTGTATCATGGTGTGTGTGTCTGTCTGTGTCATGGTGGGTGTGTCTGTCTGTGTCTTGGTTTGTGTCATGGTGTGTCTGTCATGGTATATGTGTGTGTCATGGTGTGTGTCTGTCTTTCATGGTATGCGTGTGTCTGTCATGGGTTGTGTGTGTGTGTGTCTGTCATGGTATATGTATGTGTCATGGGGTGTGTGTGTGTGTCTGTCATGGTGTATGTGTGTGTTTTTAAAAATAGTGTTTTTACTCACCTTTTTTTTTCCCAACGTCGTACTGGTCTTCCCCCAACTGGCCCTGCCTCTATGACTGAGATCATCAAGCTTGATCATCTCAGCCAATCTGCACTGACACAGGAAGCGGCTCTAGTGACCGCCTGAGTGTCTGTCACTAGAGGTGTCACTAGGAAACAATGTAAACACTGCCTTTCTCTGAAAAGTCAGTGTTTACATTGAAAAGCCGGCAGGGACAGGCTATAGACACCAGAACCACTACATTAAGCTGTGTGTGTGTGTGTGTGTGTGTGTGTGCGCGCGTCTGCTAGTGAGTGAGCTTGCTTGCATGTGTGTATGTGTGTGTGAGCCTGCTAGCGAGTGAGCTTGTGTTTTTATGTCAATGAGCTTATGTATATCAGTGTGATTGATTGTCTATGAGGCTGTGTATCAATGAGCTTGTGTGTGTCAGTGAGATTGTCTGTGTCTGCATGTGAGTATACTTACTGTATAATTAAACGTTTTACTCTGAAAGGACCAATATTTTATATTAGAAAAATCAATATATATATATATATATATATATATATATATATATATATATATTACTCAATCATCTGTCCTGGCAAGACATAGCCTTACATATTACACGCGACAATATATGGCGCAGTGACTTATGGGGCTGGCATAGATTTTTTTTACAGGGCTGCTTTGTATCCCCAGTCCGGACCTGGAAGCATCGCCCTGTTGGACCAGAAGAGTGCGGGTTGGGCTCTATCTGTAGCAAATATTATGGTTCCTAAGCAGTGATGTGAAAGGGCAGAGGGATCTCTGCTACATTAATGTGCAGCCAGAGAGGTCAGCATAAAAGGTTAGCTCTATGTTCTCGAAAACATAAGGAGAAGTTCCTGTAAGTGTGACTTGGACGGTAGTTTTGTCCCGGTGGGTCTGAAAGCGGACCACCAAGTCTCTTGGTACTGCCTCTGGTGCCTTTAGTGGTCTGGGGATCCAGAAATAGCTGTCATGCATGATGGATTTGGCCTGTTTAGGTTGCAGTATTGCTACAAGTAGACATCTCAATAGATGTGGGAGCTCTGTTGTGGGTACATCTTCAGAGATTCCCCGAATCTTTTGAGTTCTTGCATCACCTCGTGTCTTCTATGGTAGCGAAGCGTCAAAATGAATAATGTTGTTGTTGCAGTGTATAAACCACACTTTCAAGTGAGGTTATTTTTTGGTCTTGGCTTTTAGATGCAGTTTTCAGGTGGCACACTCATCCGATGAGGCCCTTAAGCTCAGTGCGGAGTGTGGTGACATCAGCCCTGATGTTTTTTTGGAGATCCTCTAACATTTCTTTCATGGTAGCTATTGTCACTGTCATGGACTCTGCACTCCGTGGGATTGCAGGCGAGCTGGCAGGGCCACGTTCTCCATATCAAGAGGGAACTCCTCATAGGAGTCAAAGCATTCATCAGTACAGGTGGCCATATTAGGCCCAGTCGTGCCTTGTGACTGTGGGAGAAGAACTCCAATATTCATTCCCAATCTGGGTTTATGAGGCTTCTGCTTCTTGGTCTTCCGACCCATGTCAACCAGAACCGCACTGTCACTCTGGTTCGAGCAGAAAGACGGTGGAAAATTGCTTTAAATAGCGAGTAACTTCGGAGCTCATAGATAGTGTGTCTGTCTGCTTCAGACGCTGAACTCTGCCCTTCCATTTGCAGCACTCTTACAAAACAAAAGTAAAACAGAGTAGATTTGCCAAACACAGAAGTATTAGTAGCAGTCCTCTCACGAAAGATGTGAATCTGAGGTGTTTGTGCAAAATTTCAGAAGTTCCTTAACATTATTCTTAACAACAAGAGTCTTACAATATCAGGACCGGATCTCATGTAAAGGTTCTAGTTCAGAGCCGGAAAATTGCCTACTCCTTTGTCCTAATAGAGTCTGTATTTAGATGATGTATGTATTTAGACATCTTTTAAAACTAAGGAAAGATGAGCAACAGGCTAAGTATTTATAAAATATCTGTTAAAAAGAGGGAGGAAGGGCTCTGGGTCTGATATCACCAGCCATTAGCAGCAAGAGTACTTAGAATGTGGCCTTCACATAAACAAGATTTGGCTAAAAGCAGTAGGAGATAGGAGGATGTAGGGCTTGTTCTACTAGGTAACTGCTTACGATGATGATATCTATCTTACCCTCTCCAACCCTCAATGGTTCATGCATTTAGGACTAAGGAGTTATTGAACAGATTTGTGCAACTTAGACCACATTTTTCAATATTAGTCCATCCTTTGGAAAAAATTACTATTAAATTAAATTATTATTAAATTACTTGAAAAGATACATTGATTCATGAACTAAATTTAGCCATGCAATTCATTATTTTAATTAAAAGTGAACTCAGAGCGCCCTCATAATTTTACAGTTAAGAACACAGTGGACACCAGCACTGCTGCCTATCACTTTCCACTCCCTGTGCAATAAATATCCTGTGCTTATCAAATGCTCAAAAGGAAACTAACTGCTTAAACCCCTTAAGGACAGACTGAGGCAATTGTTCAATTTCTGACAAAAATACAACATAGAATTTGATCTATATGTCTGTTCAAACATAATTTATATCTTTCATATTAAGTGAACCCACACTTCTGCCAAACAGTGTCATCACGATCACATGACACGGATGGGCAGGATTGGCCGCAGCAGGGGAGCGATTGGTAGGGAGTGCTAAAAGCCCACCTTTTGCAGGACATGCCCACTGTCCTTAAGGGGTTAAGACATCTTTCCTGTTCTGTTGGGGAAAAAAACATTATGAAAATGCAAAGATTGTCAAAGTAAAATGTTCCACTGGTGATTTAACCCCCCAAAAAGTTGTATCACATTTATCGATGTAACAGCTTTTAGAAACTATCGCAATATTGGTACATATTTGTACAATGGTGGGCTTGTCCCAATTCTAAAACTCTCAGGCTTTAAAATATAGGATTTGCCAACATATCTTGTCCAACCCAATTTGCATGACATTCCCAGGGCCGAAAATAATCTCCGAAACTACTAGGCAATCAAAATCACAAACTACAGGAACCAGTCCTTGAATTTCCTTAGTAGTAGATGTCAAGATTGCAGTGGGCAAAACCATTGAGATGAACAGGCTAATTATACCCTTAAAAACCTAATTAATTTGGGACCATTTGTAGAGTAAAGGGGCCATTTAGGGCTTTATGGTTTTATTTTGCTTAAAGCCTAATATTACCTGTATTTTTCCATTCTCAGTTTTGTGTATATATATATATATATATATATATATATATAAATATATTTCTGCCACATCTGTTCCACCTCCATGCCATTTTTTTTTTTTTGCACACAAAGTTTATAAATTATCAGGAACCACAGCAAACATTTCATAGAATACAATTACAACATCCTTACTAGTTAATCATGTTCTTGGGAAGAGCAAACCGACACTTTCATTAAATTCTTGAAAATTACACAGCAATTCGAAATGAAGGCAATTATATTTTATTTAACCCCTTAGTTACAACGGACATATGAGGTACGTCTGACAAAAAAATGGTCCTTCAGGACCGCGGACGTACCTCATATGTCCTCAGGTAATTTGAGCGCTGGACAATACCCCCCTCACTGCCGGGTACCCGAGTGATCGCTCCACCCCGAATGATCACTTCCAGGTTGCCGCATGTGGAGCCCGGCAGTGTAGAGCAGAGCATCCGAAGTTATTGGGCAGGCTTCCGATGCTCTGCCTGTACTGAGTCCCTCGAGAAGTCGATGCACTCAGTTAAAGTTAAAAAAGTAAAAAAATTAAATTAATTAAATTTTTTTAAAATTAACCCCTAGCCTCCCTCCCATGTACTTAACGAGTCTTCTTCCGAGGGGGACTGTCTGGGCTCAGCCGAGACAGTCCCCCCTCTGCAATTTAGGACCCACAGGGGCCATTTCAAGAGCGGTCACATGGCTGCAATAGGTGTTCACAGTACTGCCAGCAGGGGGACTGCCTGAACTGACAGGCAGTCCCAGTGCTGGTGAAAAAAGTTTTTAAAAAGTAAAAAATAAATAAAAATAAAGTTAATAAATTAAAAAAAAAATATATATATATATATATATATATACACACATATATTATATCTATTTATAATATATATATATATATATATATATATATATATATATATATATATATATATATAATCTTATATATAACGTCATCCTAAGTGTATTTCTTTATTAATATATACATATATTAATGTAAAAATACACTTAGAGTAAAATTACACAGGTGTATATATATAATATATATATAACAACTATATATATTGTGTATATATATATATATATAGTTATAAAAAAGAAATAATTATAAAAAAAAAAACTAAAAATCATTTACATTTTTTTAAAAATGATATATATATATATATAATTTTATTCTAAGTATATTTTGATAAATATATATATATATATATATATATATATATATATATATATATATATATATATATATATAAAAATAAACTTAGAATGAAATTATATATATATCTATTAGGGATCGACCGATTATCGGTCTGGCCGATATTATTGGCCGATATTCGGTATTTTCTGCAAAATCGGTATCGGCCAATAGAGATACCGATATTGCCAATAATACATACCAGGACCGCTGGGCTTACTCACCTTCCCAGCAGCTCCCCTGTTTAAATCTTGCGAGTCCCGCGGCGGTCAGAGCGTTGCCATGGATTACCATGGCAAGGCTCCGCGCGGCATACAGGCCATGAGATTTACACAGGGAGCTGAAGGAGGTGCTGGGAAGGTAAGTAAGCGCTTGCCACGGGCCCCCACTGTACAGTCCATGTCACCGGACCACAAGGGAATGCTATATCCCCCCTCTCTGGCCAAGTAAGAAGCAGGGAGAAGGGACTAAAAAATAATAATTAAATATTAAAAAAATTTAATAAAAAATGCCCCCTACCCCCAAATGACATACCTACAGAAACACACACACCCTGCATTATATACACACACTACACAAACACACTGTATATAATGTAGTGTGTTTGTGTAGTGTGTTTATATAATGCAGTATGTGTGTTTGTGTAGTGTCTGTATAGTGAATGCAGTGTGTGTATATAATGCAGTGTTTGTGTAGTGTGTTTATATAATGCACACTACACAAACACACTGCATTATATACACACACTACACAAACATACTGCATTCACTATTCACACACTGCACAAACACACACACACACTTTGCATTTTGTGTATACACACACACTCCACAAACACACTGTATTCAAAAACAAACAAAATAGGAGCCCTGGATTTACCTAGACCGGCGATCCGCAGCGACCACGGTCGGTGGGGGGCGACTGCCGGAGATCCCAGCATTCTATTTAAAGCAATTCAGCATTTATAAAAAAAATTCAATTTAAGTTTCCTTTTCTTTTGGGGAATTTATGCCCTATAATAAAGGTCCCCCCCCCCCTTTTTTTTTGGTGCTCCCAAAGCTTATTTTGCTAGGGATCACTTGCAGTTTAAGTGTTGTGTATACATCTAAGAGTTACCCCCTATATAGGGTTCTGTGGACACTCTTGTGTTTGTGTACTCTGGAGATGTTGTGGAACATATATTGGGGTGTTCTTTGTCAGTAACACATAACAGGAACTGAGAATCCATGTCTAAATTACCATGTAAGAGAAAATGACACAAAAAATAACTACCCAAAAGTTTGACAAAGACTGGTGGTAGAATTAGTGCATGGAAAGTGTTAAAATACCACAATTTGAAATACCCTAGGGTGTCTACCTTTCAAAAATATATGGCTTGATTGGGGTAAATTACACTGGCCAGCTTCACAAATGTCCCAAATAGGACATGGGTGCATGATGACCAGCTGTGAAAATTCCAAGTTGGAAAACTGGAATGCGCACCCTCCAAATAAAGTCTTTTAGCCCCCAAAGAACCCGACACACCTATCCATGGGTGGTATCACTGTACTCAGGAGATGTTGCTGAACATATATTGGGGTGTTCTTTGGCAGTAACACATAACATGAACAGAGAATCCATGTCTAATCCATGAGAAAAATAACACAAAAAAACGACTACCAAAAAGTTTGACAAAGACTGGTGGTAGAATTAGTGCATAGAAAGTGTTAAAATACCACCATTTGAAATACCCTAGGGTGTCTACTTTTAAAAAATATATGGTTTGATGGGGGTAAATTACATTGGCCGGCTTCAAAAATGTCCCAAATAGGACATGGGTGCATGATGACCAGCTGACCAGCTGTGAAAATTCCAAGTTGGAAAACTGGAATGAGCTCTCTTTCAAATAAGGTATTTTATCCGCCAGAGAACCCAACACACCTATACATGGGGGGTATCACTGTACTCAGGAGATATTGTTGAACACATATTGGTGTGTTCTTTGGCAGTAACCCTTAAAGTTCTCAGTACATGTATTCTTAAATTGCTATGTGTGTCAAAAAAAATAAATCACAATTTTTGTTTTTAATTTAAATTTGGCATAGATTGGTGGTAAAATGGTTGCATGAAAAGAGTCAAAATGCCCCAAGTTTAACCCCTTAAGGACACATGACATGTGTGACATGTCATGATTCCATTTTATTCCAGAAGTTTAATAGGGGTTAATACCTTAGGTTGATACCTTAGGTTGTCTTGTTTTAAAACAATATATACATGTGTAGGGTTATTCAGGGATTCCTGACAAATATCAGTGTTACAATGTAACTTGCGTTAATTTTGAAAAAAACTGGTTTGGAAATAGCAAAGTGCTACTTGTACTTATTGCCCTATAACTTTCCAAAAAAGCTAAGAACACATCAACACTGGGTATTTTAAAAATCAGGACAAAATTTAGAAACTATTTAGCATGGGTGTTTTTTGGCGGTTGTATATGTGTAACAGTTTTTGGGGGTCAAAGTTCAAAAAAGTGTTTTTTTTTATTTTCATTATATTTTATAATTTTTTTTATAGTAAATTATATGATATGATGAAAATAATGGTATCTTTAGAAAGACCATTTTATGGCGAGAACAACTTTATATAATATGTATGGGTACAGTAAATGAGTAAGAGGAAAATTACAGCTAAACACAAATACAGCAAAAATGTAAAAACAGCCAAACGGTAAGAAAATTGAAAAGTGGTCTGGTCACTAAGGGGTTAAGTTTTTTTGGCACATTTATAAACAGAGAAAGCATTAAAGAACTGAACATTCTACCTTTTGTGGATAAGCCCTCCCTGCTATCTTTCTTTCTCAAAAGCATTATCTTACTCTCCACAACATAATTTATAGGTGTTGCTACCAATACTATCCACTTCTCAAAGCCTAAAGCAAAAGTTCACTTTGTCAGATTTCTATACTCCATATTATTTCTAAATGCACTTTTCTTTTGTACTTTGTTGTGATTAACCTTTTTGTACAAACTGAATGTTTGTCATAATGCCTTGAGGATTTCTGAGAATGTAATAATTGAATTTACCATAGCTATCTCCCCTCCCAAACACATTCTCTCTCTAGGTTGCAAACTTGTTTGGCAGGACCCTCGAAACAAATTGTACACATTGTCCTATTTTTGCATTTCCATTATAAAGCAGCATGTAATTATTAACTGTGTTAAGTTGCCACCTACTAAACTCTTGAAACTCATTCTGACATTAAAGTCACTACCTACCATCTAAACGGCATCCCAGGGACTCTAAAAATGCATCACAGAAATAGTGTAGCTTAGAGGTGAGGACTTTAGCACCCAACCGACCCCCAAATTCTCTATTACAGAAAAGTTAATAAACAAATGACACTGGTCTGATTAGGTTTAAGGAGAGGACAGAAAAAAAAGTGACATTCTTTGCAAGGCGAGCACAAGGATTTTATATTTTTCTTTCTAGGGATGGACAGGGGACTTTCAAAAAGGTAGCATTACAAATGTCAAACGTGGCATATTCTGAATTCTCTGCTTGTCATAAATATGACTTAATTTAACCCTTTAAGGACCAAACTTCTGGAATAAAATTTAATCATGACATGTCACACATGTCATGTGTCCTTAAGGGGTTAAGCCTGAATTCTGAATGCACTAAACCGCCATAAATTAGTTTAATGACTATCAAACTGAGAACTATAAACTTCCATGTAGCATACAGGCTTTCCTTAAAACATGAAGGGGAACAAACACATTTTAGTTTTTTTTTCTGCAGGTACCTTTATCCCGTGCACATTTGTAAGCTGCACAAACACCTTTATCCTATCTTTGGCATTCATTGGAGGAAATATAATATAAAAATATATGCACTCACGTATTAGAACAAATAAAAAATAGATGAAATACTATGGTTGACTATTTTGTTCCTCAGAAATACTAGCTGTATGCACACAAGTACTAACAAAATATGTGTGGACAATTACTGGTTGTTTATCTCTTGTCTGCCTCCTTGGTGGAAGGCTGGAGCATTCCTGCGGAACTCGAGTGCAGGGTATACTGTTTCTGTCTGGATTGGGTAACTGCCACTCACTGTGCTACGAGGTTATTGGTGAAAGGTCCACACCAGATGGTTGACAACCTCTTTTACCCCCCCACTGACATGCGATAGGTTGCTTTGGAATGAGGGATCTGCTGTTTTGCAACTCAATGGTATAATAACAGCATGAGGGGATAGTTGAGGTGTTTTTTTTCTCGTGATATGTCTGTTTGTCATATAGATGAAATATACAGACTGTATAGTGGATATTTAGCCACCTGAATTAATAAGACTAGCAAATGGAAGTAAGGGTTGCCTTCCTACATAATTAACCCACGTGTTACTTCACTGAATGAAACTGGCATCTACCCAATAAGCATTAAAGGAACACTAACGCTATTGTGTCCTGTAGCCATTTATGTAAACCCGCAGTGTATGAAAAACATTAGTTCCCTTACCTTTTCTTGGCAGCCGGTCCCGCCTCGATTGCTGACAACATCGAGATTGATTATCTCAGCAAATCCTATACTTTCAAACAGGAAAGCAATGGGAGGCTAGTGCCCACACGTGGAACCATCTGATGGAAATAGCCAAGTTTTATTAAACTATTTCTGCAGCACCTCGAGTGGCTGTCAGAGTGTCAGCTACTATAGACCTATTACCCTGCACTGTAAACATTGTTATTCCTGTAGAATGACAATGTTTGCAACTGCATGCTTAAAACTACAGGGACATACATGGCACCCAGACCACTTACTTTCAGATGAAGTGGTCTGGGTGTCTATATTATCCCTTTAAACATGACGGCACTGAATTCCCAAGTGCAATGCAGACCCATTTGACATTTGGAAGACATACATAACTTAAAAACAAAATAATTTTTCACCGATTGTGTTTTGTTCCTATTACAAAGAAAGAATGAGACTCCAAGCTGCTTTTAGAATTAAATCATGGGTCTCCAATCTAACCCAATGTAATCTGAATCTCAGTTAGAAAAAGATTAGAGCCACTTGCCTAAGGGGACATGTTACCATTAACAGCATAGTATATGTTAAAAAATTCAAAGAATTAAACCATGTAAAGAACAAAATGTGAGGCCACATTTAATGTGACAAAAGTGACGTAAATCAAATAAAAGGTTGTTTACCTGAATATAATTAATCTTTTGTAGTATAATACAAACATAACGTCCATTACAACTGTACGGTGTCAATATGGCAAGAGAACCTTCAGAAACACTATCAGGTTTATTTACTAATGTGAGAATTACCAGAAAATTCACAGTGAATGCCAAGTGAACTTTAGACCGGAATAGTCAAACTACAACCTGACTTGAATTTCCAACAAAATCTCACTTTAGTAAATAAACCTGAAGAAGTTTTAACAAACAAAAAATACAATCGAGTGCTTAACAAAGTAAATGTTAAAGTATGCAATTCAATGCAGAGATAATTATAAAATGTGTAACAGAGGTTTAATTCTAACAAAAGGACAGGAGGGGAGACAACTGTACCTTTCTGTAGAGTAAATGGATGTAGAACTTTAATGCAAAGAGATGACCTCCAATGATTGTTCTGGAGAGTATCTCTGGTTGCAGCAGGCTGACCTCCAGATGATGTGGTGTGAAGAGCCAGTGAAACCTGATTTTGTCGTAATTCTAGTCGGTGTCGTTAGCAGTCTGACCAGTATCCGTCGTGACGTTAAAGTCTTCAACTTTGTCCATTCATTCCGTATAATATGGTGACTGGGCTTTCTTCCAGTGTAGGAGTATAAGGAAGTTGGCAGCATTGATAAGATATAGAAATGGGAAGTGTTTTTTTTTTTTTTTTAGGAATGTCGTGAATATGATACAGAAGGTGACATGTATTCTGTGGATATATGAAGTGAATATGCCAAGAAAAGAAAGTGGTATAATAAATACTAACACTCTGTCCTGTGCATTATGTTGCTGAATATGTGTCAGGCTAAAATTATGCTATGTAAAAAATGTCATATGACCAGTTTTTCAATTCTACATAACCTGCGTTGAAATTGACTTGTATACAGAGATGCAAGGAGCCTGCCGGTATTCAAAAAGATGACCTGTATTTAAGTGATTGAATTCCTGTTTCGGCTAGGACTTAAAGTGACATAGGCACAAGGAGAACTTTAGCTTCATAAGGCAGTTTTTGTGTATATATCATACTCCTGCAGTCTTGCTGCTCAATTATCTGCCATTTAGGAGTTAACTCTTACACAGCTTTCCTAAACACTTCCTGTAAAGTCATCTAATGTATACACTTCCTTTGTTGCAAATTCTGTTTAATTTAGCATTTCTTATGTCCAGCTCTGTTAATAGCCTTCTGGAACCTGCAAGAGCCTCCTGTGTGCAAATAAAGTTCAATTTACAGGTGATAAAAACTTCTTAAGCAAGTTAACATCTGATTTAAAATGAAACCTTTTTTATGCATCCTGTGTCAGTCACAGCCAGGGGAGGTGTGGCTAGGGCTGTATCAACAGAAACAAAAGTGATTTAACTCCTAAATGGCAGTAAAGTAAGCAGTAAGATTGCTGGGGCATGATCTATACACCACAACTGCTTCATTAAGTTAAAGTTGTTTTGAAGCCTATTGTATGCCTTTAATTCAACCATATAACCTGATGGAGCAAAGGTTGCCTTTAAATTATGTGGTACTGAGTAAAATATACAAAGGCACGTTGGACTATATAAACCTTTACATACTTATATGTATATGCATGTACAATAGGCCTAAAACTGAACAAAAGTATAATAATATATAAATATGATGTTTAAGTGAAAAAGCTATTTTCATTTAATGTTAAAAAAGACTTGCAAGATGTTCTTGTAATTTAGCCAGTGGCATTTAAAACAAAAGTGAATGTCTCATTTCATGCTTACTGGATGATGATAAAATAGTATACACTTAGTATGATTCGGTAGAGTAAGAATCCCCTGGTCACTGTAATAAACACTATAGCTTCAAGTGGCTCTTAGTCCACATAGTACCTGTATTAAATGTTATAGCCATTTTTATATATGCATCCACTGATTCATCATAATATTAGTTTAAGATCTGAATCTTGATGTAGGAGATGCAGATTTACAGATAGAATGGCCTACTACCAGTGTGATCTTATCACTGTGCTTTGACCCTCAATGAAAAAGGAGGGTCTAGGGCACTGAACCAGATATCTGGGTTTGCCTTTTTTAAAAGAAAACTCAATGGAGATTGAAATTGGTGACATCTGAAACAGCTTGGTGGCATTGAATTTGCAGAGCACACATCAGTTCAGACTGCATTTTGAAACAAAGTTTTTTAGCAAACTATCTGGGTTATGCATTATTAAAGTGAGAATTGTCAGACATTCAAAGTGAATGCAAATTGAACCTTAAATATAAAAAGTTACTCCAGCACCATGACCACTTCAGTGGAGTCATTGCACATACAGATATATTTTGATTACCTGCTAGAGGCCAATGTCAATTCTGTGTCAATGTCAATTCTGTGCATATTATTTGCACTCACTGTCATTCATTGGCTGATGCTCTCAGCCAATCATTGACTGGTGGGATCATCATCCTACTTTGCAGGCGCAGGATGCACGTCACCCAGCATTAGAGGAGGCTCAGCACCTGGTAGCTCCCGGGTGTTATTGTGCCACAATAACACCAACTCCGTCGTTAATGGAAACATGGGATCTAGTACCAATATATTTTCCACTTTTTTCCAAAAAGATTGAATTTTCAGGCATAGCCACCATAAATGAGGCAGGTCTCCTACAGAAATTAAGCACTGCCAGCATTATTTTAAAATTACCAGAAAACACATATGCATATTATCTGGGGTCCTATACTATCTAGAGATAATTTTGTATCCAAGCTCTTGATATTTATATGCTATAGAGCAGTTTTTATTTAACTTAAAACATCTAACCCTGTCTAGATGTGATAGAGTAATCCCCAGATCTCTCTCCCGTAACCTTGTAAAATATGGAAACATTTCCCCTGACTGTGAATTTGTTCTAACATACTGCCAAATGTGTGGCTTGTAGTGACCACTGTGTGGCACCATAACATCATTGCAGTCTATAGTTAATGTGGAGTTAACACCACAAGATGAATGTAATCATATTACTGATTGTAGGTCTACCTTTAACCCCTTAAGGACACATGACATGTGTGACATGTCATGATTCCCTTTTATTCCAGAGGTTTGGTCCTTAAGGGGTTAAGTTTTATGGGCATTTTACTCTTTTACTACATGTCCAGTCTTGGTGAGTAGATTGTAAGTGGCTAATTAAATGTATGCCCATCTGCACTGGTAAAAGATAGGTTATACTTATGCGAAGTGTTTTCCTATTCCTTTTCATGTTACTTTTAATTTTCTATAGTACAAAGATATTCAGCAGAGAGAGGGCCCCGCAGGAGATCTCATTCAGCTTGGCAGCCGATGATGTCAGTGAGAGCTGATCTCTTGCGTAGCCAAATGCAGTATTCGACCCATGGGAATCTTCTACAGACTTTCCAGTGACGTGATGTGCTAAAGGCAAATCAATAAACATTCATTCCTAAGCCCTTACTCTGTATGCGGACACCAGCAGAGGTGTCTGCCAGTCTCTTCTTACACACTTTTGGGAGTCCCAGTCCTCTTGAATATTTTACATGCTAATTTTCCTAGGAAGAATCCTTTGCTACATCAAAATATATGGCAGAAATGCTATGATCTTTGGAATCTATGTGATACAGATTTTTAAACGTTCATCTCCTAAGTCACTGAAAGACAACGCAGATGCCAATGAGCAAACAAATATCGATAGAACCATATCTCTCATGGATTGTTGTAGAAGTGTTAACTGCCTTTGCTTCGTCACAAAAAAATATTTAAAGTTTAATACTTACCTGTAGAGGACATCACAGAAAAATTGTGAAGTTATTTAGGATATACCACATTAACACCTCAGTGTTTATGTGAAAATTGTAATTATCACTTACCGTATATATTTGAGTATAAGTCAACCCGAATATAAGCCGAGGCACCTAATTTTGCCACAAAAAATTGGGAAAACTTATTGACTCGAGTATAAGCCTAGGGTGGGAAATGCAGCAGCTACTGGTAAATTTCTAAATAAAATTATATCCCCCCCAAATTATATTAATTGAATATTTATTTACAGTGTGTATATAATAAATGCAGAGTGTGTGTTTGTGCAGTGTGTGTATATAATAAATGCAGTGTGTGTGTGTTTGTGTAGTGTGTGTATATAATAAATGCAGAGTGTGTGTTTGTGCAGTGTGTGTATATAATAAATGCAGTGTGTGTGTGTTTGTGTAGTGTGTGTATATAATAAATGCAGAGTGTGTGTTTGTGCAGTGTGTATATAATGAATGCAGTGTGTGTTTGTGTAGTGTGTGTGTATAATAAATGCAGTGTGTGTTTGTGCAGTGTGTGTGTGTTTGTGCAGTGTGTGTATATAATGAATGCAGTGTGTGTGTTTGTATATAATGAATGCAGAATGTTTGTGTGAATGCACTGTGTGTGTATATAATGAATGCAGTGTGTGTTTAGAATGCAGAGTGTGTGTTTGTATGAATGCAGTGTGTGTATATAATGCAGTGTGTGTGTTTGTATGAATGCAGCGTGTGTATATAATGAATGCAGTGTGTGTTTGTATGAATGCAGTGTGTATATAATGAATACAGTGTATGTATGTAATGAATGCAGTGTGTATATAATGCAGTGTGTGTGTGTGTGTATATAATGCAGATTGTGTGTGTGTGTGTGTTTGTGTAGTGTGTGTAAACTGGGTGGGAGGAAGGGCATTTTTATTATTTTTTATATTTTTTTATTTTAATATTATTATTTTATTTTTATTTTAATATTTTTTTATTTTAATATTATAAAATGTAATTGTTTAATGTTTTTTTTGTACCCCCTCCCTGCTTGCTGCCTGGCCAGGGATGGGGGGCTATATGATTCCCTGGTGGTCCAGTGGTGTGTACTGTGCAGGGGGAGGCAGCAAGCTGTTACTTACCTTTGTAGCAGCTCCGGTCAGCTCCCTTCACCTCCGTTCCCTTCCGCTCACAATGTAAGTCTCGCGGTCTGCGTGCCACGGTAAACCGTGGCAACGCTCTGACGGTCGCGGGTCTCGCGAGACTTACACGGTGAGTGGAAGCTAAGTATTACCTGCCCTTAAATGGAGACGTGACAGTCCGACGTATGATTATAAAGGTTTTACATTTATTTATTACTGGCATTTATAAAGCGCCAACATATTCTGTAGCACTGTACAATTGGGAAAGACAACACAATAAGAACAGAACGATACAACAGGTAGAGGGCCCTGTCTGGTCGCTTACAATCTAAAGGTTAAACTGGGGAGATGAGACAAGAGGTGGCAGAGGGATTTGTATGTGATGGCAGAGAGAGTTACCGTATTTTTCGCTCCATAAGATGCACTTTTTTCCCCCTCAAAAGTGAGGGGAAATGTCTGTGCGTCTTATGGAGTGAATGTGAAGCTTTACTTACCTGTCTTGTAGCGTGGGCCAGCAGCACAGCGTGCACCGCGGTACAGGAACTTCAATTTCAGGTTCCGGTTTCCGGCGGGACTGAAAGGAAGTGCACACTCAGTGTGCACACTTCCTTTCAGTCCCGCCGGAAACCAGAATCTGAAATTGAAGTTCCTGTACCGCGGTGCGAGCTGTTAAGCCGGCCCACGCTAGACAGGTAAGTAATTATGGGACAAGGGTGGCGGGGAGGGACACTACGGGAGGGAAAGTGCACTATGGGACAAGGGGAGGGGGGGACACTATGGGATGAGAACACTATTGGACAAGGGGAGGAGGGGTTAAAGAACAATATGGGACAGGGGAGGAGGGGTTAGTAATCACTACAGAGGAAAAGGGGGTTAAAAATCACTATGGGACAGGGGAGCGGGGTTTAAAGATAACTATGAGACAGGGGAGGGGGGTTAAAGATAACTATGGGACAGGAGAGGGGAGTGGGTGGTAAGGAACACTATGGGACAGGGGAGAAAAGAAAAATATTCTGAACAAACTGTCCCATAGAAGTCTCCTGCCCCTTATGCCACCTTAAGAGTACTAGGATTACTACCAACATCAGCAAATTAATCCAAATTAAAAACAAATTTAACCTAAATTAAAAACACAGCAAATCCTTCCAGCACTACATAGAAACAAGGATGTGTTGAATATCTCTTACAATTTGACAATTGTACTCGATCTCACTTAAGGCCCATCCACATACATTTAATCTATTAACTGGCCTCCAGGACTGCCTCGGTTAAGCTTCCTGTTAACCCTGAAATGCATATTTTGCAAACTCATAAAACACCATATGCACCTAGAAATTATGTTCTACTACATAATCAGTGTCCCCAGAAACCACAACGGAAGCCAGCGGACATCAGCCACCATAATGTTTGTCAAATTGCTCATCTGCACAGTTCCTACATCATTTCAAAGGTGTATCACAATGACTTCATACATGCTCTATCTCTTCCAGGATGCAACCTCTTCAAGCAGGTTGGCCCAATGCTCCAACCCACTCCCACCCCATGTCGCTTGCTAGCCACTGATTTCTGAGCATAGATAACAAAGTCAATCTGTAGCCTGCTACAAATCCACCTGAACAGGCAACCTTTGAACAAATGATTATCCAAGGATCCAGACCCTCTGGCAACCTCTCTAACCCACAATCCTCACTTTGTTTGGAGCTGGGTACATCATGTCCACGCCATAGTGAACCTTTTGATTAATATGGTCTAATTAAGGGATGGACAAGAATACCTATACTTTGTAAACTGTGTATAAAGTCCACTTAGCAACACTATCTAATTAGAACAACTATGATATCCATTAGTGTGCGGTGGCTAACTGACTCCATTTTACTGGAAGTTAGGTATCAATTTAAACGTGATACAGTGTATATTACTGTTTATTGTTGATTTGTCTGTCTGACCATATTCAGTTTATTCCTTAGTTTTGATTAAATTTTTTACAACCTCTACACACTACAGCCAATAATTACTTGTACCTTGATACTCTGGAGGTATCGATTTACTGAACTATTAAATTACTCAAATTTGAGAATACTTATAATAGCTATTAAAATCCTCTTACTACTTGAAGTGGCCTTTGAGACTACTTTACCCAGAATTTTAAAGGTGTATTATCACTCTGTTTATTCACAATGTCACATTTGTTTGAGTTTTAGTTTTTCACATAGAACCTACTGTTCTAGTTAGGCTCTTTATATTTTAATATCCTAATATTCGGCTTTAATAAAGGTTTATACCACCTATACGAATTTTTACTTTTAAAGGAACTTCTTTTGGTGGAGTGGGAGTCCGCACACTTTAAGTGGGCTGTCGTCCCATCCTGCTTTATTTTTTGTCTATACCAAAGGCTTTTAACCAAATTTATGGATACTTAATTCGTTTAGAAGTTCTCATTTATGGAGGAGGGACTCCCCACATATTTGTGTGGAGTTATCCTGACTCCATTTAGAAGTTTCTGTTTAATAAAAATCCTGGCATCTGAGTCATCAGCCCAAGGCCCCAAAAACCCTGGTTATATTCTACTCAGACCCATGTCCTAATATACAGTTTACATTTCTCAGAGTGCCACTTGCCCACTTCATTGAGGTTCCCTCGAAAGCATTGTGTCCATCTCCATCCCAATCCAAAATGAATGAGAGATGACGATTGAGGGATCTCACTGCAAACTCTAACTGCCAATTCCAAAACTGGTACCTAGAATGGACCTGCCTATTCTCATGAATCTGCTTTAGGCTGTATCAACAAATGTCTCAACATTAGGGAGACTGGACAAATCTGTAACACCACCTGTGGATTCCGATTGAGCGCTTGCCAACAGAATGGACCATGTAAACCAGAATAGCATTCTTTGTAAACTAAACATTCCTCTTATGGAAACAAGCCCCCACCATAAGCCAGGAAGTTGCCACTAGCTCCCTAGCATGCACTGAAACAAAACACACAAAGGAAAAAACTGAATATAATACTCTAATTTAATGGCACCTACACTGTTATAAAGTGGATTAACCGTACACCTGTAACCCTCCAACTCTGCCTCATGGGCCCTCTCCCTGGAAATGCTACCACTGGAAATATGATAGAACATCCCAAGCAGTATTATGCACTAATGGAAGGTCCCTGAAATGGAAAGTGATGATGTGTTACAAGCAACATAACACCTGCTGACTTAACAGCTTAATCCCTTAAAGGGATCCTATAGGCCAGGAAAACAAAACTTAGTTTCTCTGGAAATGCAATGTTTTACATTGCAGCACTAAGTGCAAGAGGGTCACAGCACCCAGACTACTTCAATTAGTTGAAGTGGTCTGGGTGCCTAGAGTGTCTCTTTAAGGAAGAAGCTTATTATTTTTTTTCTTCCCTTAAGGACACAAGCAATTTTTGCTGTTTGTTTGTCTAACCACAATTTATATTTGTCTCATTTATTGAGCCAACACATATTATATACCGAAGACAAAAATAGTTTTAATTCAATATTGCATATTCATATTTCTCATTCATTATAAAAAACAAATACACAAAAATGAATGAATTTTCAGACAGTTTTGGCATTAATAATGCATGAAGCTACAGTGTCATAAGAAACCTGACCATTTCTGTTGTCACAGTTTGAATATTTATAGAAGGATTTGATTGGCCTATGTCTTATAGCACTTGACTGTGATTGAAATTACTCAACAAAGGCCTAGCATTTGAGAAAGTAGACATTCTAGGGTATCACATATGATGTATTTTGTGCCTTAGTGTGCTGCTATTTTTTCACCAGTTGATCTCACATTTGTGATTAAAAAACAAACTTTGTTTTGCATTTTTTACATATACATTACAATTTAAGTAGTAATTTCTCAAATATGATATGTGCCAATGTGATCATACAACCAAAATTATGTTCCGCAAACTCTTCTGAACAAATAAACGCCCCCAATGTATGCCTAATTTGCGAAGTTACAGAGCCATATAAGAGACCTGACTACTTCAGTTTTTACAACACGAATTTAGGAATTTCCATAGTAAAATTTAATGGGTCTGTTTTGAAACATTGTAGCAGTTTGACAGTTCAAATTACCCCATAAATGCATACCATTTGTGAAAGACACCACAGGGTATGTCATGCGGTATATTTTGAGCCTTATTATTATATAGCCATTTTAGCACCAATTTCTTTCAAAGTTTATGGAATTATTTTATGTTCACATTTTCTTTATATGCACATTGCAATTTAGCAGTTTATTTTGTAAATTTGATACGTGCTATATCTCCTGAATACAGAATGGCCCCCTTTGTATATCCCTGTCAGGTTTTTGTGCAAATACAGAGCTGAATTTATAAGCTACCATTGCAGTTTGGCACATTGAAGGTGTATGGTGCATTTTGGGGCATTTTAGTAGTTCAACTATTTAAATCACTCCATAAATGGATACAATTTGCAAATGTGGACACCTTGCGAACTGTCACATTAGACATTTTGAGCTTTATTGAGGTACCCAAGTTTGTGGTATTTTACATTTTTACAAATACTTTGTATTTTTCATGCTTTTTTTATGTCAAGTGTGCCATTGTAATAAAATTCTTAACTCTACTCAGCAACATGTCCTGAGTAAAATACCCCGTATGTGTATACCTTTGCAAAGTGAATACCTTTGCCTGTTCGGCTCTAGCAGCCTTGAGTGCCGTGCAACGACACCTCAAGTGCCGTGCATGGCTCATGTGCCGTAGATTGCCTATGCTTGTTCTATTTGTGTGATTTGGGGTAATTGCCAACCCTGAAATCAGGAGCACCGACTTTTTCTTGAGGAGTACAGAGAAAACCATGGAAGCAGTTTCTCTTGTCTGTATGTGAAAATTGTGTGTTAGAATGACCACCTGTAATTTCAGGCCAGCCCCAGGACATAAATGTACCACTCTGTCCTAGATTGGTCAGAGTTCTGCTTTAATTTATCTCTCTCCTAACAATAATATCGTAGCATATCATTATCTGGAGAGGATGACCAGGGTTCCTGGGTCAAACACTAGCTTTGAAGGATTTTTTCATATTTCCCTAAGTCTGCCATCAAGCACACTGAGGAATATATTGGAGATTTCCAAATAAAACATAGTGTGTGCATCTGAAAATATAAAAAAAAAATATTGTAGACACAAGACATTTCTTCTCTGATAAAGAACAGCGATCGTCTCAGCTTTGTGTTTGCCTTAGCAAGCATGGTCATCATCTTATTGGATTTATTTAAAATATTTTTTTAATCTAATACTTCGTTAAGTGAACAATTATAGGGTTGGTTGACTTGCTAATGCATGATTCGTAATAGAGAAAACATTCTGAATACTAAGCTCTTCGCATTCATATATTAAAAAGTTGATTGTTTTGAAAGGTTTTACCAGCTAGGAGGAACATTTCAAGAAATCCAAACATACTATTAAATGATTAATCTGCACTGAATCCAAGAGTTATCCTGTAACAAGCTTCATGTAGCAAATGGTTTTGTTACATGCTTGGATTAAATGTATTGCTTGATGCACATTTTTCCATAGTTTGTAATAAACCAAGGCTTCTTTATAGATTTAAATGCAGTGAGATAATAGGAGCACTAGTGTAATAATCTAAGACATGAGACCTAATTTTTATCTACAGAATATGTACTAAGAAGCAGTTTCAGTTTAGCAGTGGTTACTGTTTCCATTGCGTGTGTTTAGCACATGGGCTTGTGGGGTTGCTAGGAGTGAACTATTTACTTGTTTTTACTGTGGATTTATAAAATAGCCAAGGATACAAAACAACAAGAAAGGTGGAGCAGTGCTGAACAACTAAGCACAAAAGTGCGGAAAGCAGCTCGCCTGATAGAAGGGGATTCCCAGGGACCCCTAAAGTGACTTCAAAAGTAAAACAAAAGATATACAGGATGCGACAAAAAATATAACACAATAAGAAAGAGAGCAAGTAATAGTAAGAACAAACCATAAAAAGCACTAAAATAGAAATGTTCACAATATAGTTCAGACAAAAATGTAATAAAAACAAAAGTACCAGATGATAAAACACAGTCCTAAAATTAGCAATCTATCTTCATAGTGAGGTGTTTTAATGGACAACTTCGCTCAATAGCAGCATATGAGAGAGCAGAAACAAGAAAGGACCAATAGTGCAATAGGGTAGTAGACTGTCTAACATACAATATATAAGTCTAAAAATGCCAACTCACATTGTACAGAGCTATAACCAGCTCTGGATAAAATAGCATACAGAGGTATTGTACCCCATTTGCAGGATATCCCTCAGGCAGTAGATCACAGCAGGATTGTAATGAGGTGGATGATGTGAAATGACAAAAGGCAGCCAATAGTGCTCACTATATATGTAAGCATAAACAAATAAAGTAGAAATATACTTACAGTAGATGGAGCAGACTAATTTCTCTATGTATCAAGTGTGGGTGGTGTAACCCCCACTTAGGATTCTTTGGACGGCAGTTTTCGGGAAACTCAGGAAATAAATACTGATGCCATGTAGCGGTTTTATCTTTTTCTTGGTTAATAAAATATTTTTAGCTACCTCCTTATTTGTTGTAAGCCATATACCTTTTAGCTTTTAATTACTGCTGTGATTTACCGCCAGAGGGATATTCTGCAAGTGTGGATACAATATCACTGCATGCTGTTTTATCCAGAGCTGGTTATAGCTCTGTACAATGTGAGTTGGCATTTTTAGACTTACATGTTGTATGCTAGACAGTTTACTACCATATTGCACTATTGTTCCTTTCTTTCTTCTTCTCTCTTTCATATGCTGCTATTGAGATAAGTTGTCCATTAAAGCAGCTTATTGACAGTATGAAGATGGATTGGCATTTTTAGGACTGTGTCTTGTCTTATCTGGTATTTTTATTTCATTTTTTCTGGACCATATTGTGGGCTTTTTCTATTTTAGTGCTTTCTTATTGTTTTTTTTTTATTAGTTGCTCTCTTTCTTATTCTGTTATATTTATTGGCACAACCTGTATATCTTTTGTTTTACTTCATAAAATAACTAACAGTTAAAGGAGCATTCCAAGCACCGTAATCCCTCTAGTGGTTTATGGTGCGAGTAGTACCTTCCTAGGGTAACCTGTAAAACTAATTTAGAACAGTTTGACAATTTACATAGGTCTCCTGGATGACCGCACCGCATCCGGTTTTCTCCTGCAGGAGATGTGAATGTCTTCACTGAACTAAGAAGGTCTGATACAGGATTGTGCTCATTGCTTGAAAGAATTCAGCTGGAGCTCATAGACAATGAGTGCTCTCTGTTGGACTTAGGTAAGTTGTTAAAGTGCCCTAAAACGGTTTGACAAATGACTGGCACATGACCACTACAGCATACTATAGTTGTTATGGTGCTTGGAGTGTTCCTTTAAGTGATATTTAAAAGCTAGTAAATCATAAATGTAATCTTGGGGACAAATATGCGTTTTTTTGTTTCGTTTTTGCATCATTATTTTGATGAAATTTACAAAATTTTATATCCCATGCTTTATGCTTAGAGCCATTTTTGAATATTCTGAAATGAATAAAATTGGCAAAGTTACCAGGAGAGGCCATTTTGTATTTCCAGTTAAGACTGACAAATGCTACTGTTTTAGGAAACTAAAGTGGCTACTCCTTGCATTATTGTATGCATTCGCTATTAAACGTAGACAGTCATAATGTCAACAGCAGCTCTTAAATTACCTAAAAACTAAATTTCAGATATTAAGCACTTCATGAGTGGTTCATAGGTGAGAAAAAGAAGGGCACATACATTTCCAGAAGGAGTTAACATTTCGTCAAATAATTTTGTCTTGTGCAACGCCTGAACAAAATGGCACCTTTGGCACCTTTTTGTGACATTAAATCTAGGTATTCCAGAAGTCAAGAAGATTAATGTTCCAATTTCCTCATTTTCTAGAGGGTGATTATGCTTCGTTTGGGATTGGTGTATTGAGAGTTTGTCTGATACATCTATACCATAAAAAAGTTTTTTATTTGCAGAGTAACACTTAACAGATTGTGACCTTTTCACTTGTATTTAAGGAGGTAATTAAACAGACTTATTGAATAGAAAGCAGTTTTATATCCAGTCAGTACAGAATGTAAACATATTTAAAATTATTAAGCTGGTGGAAACACGCAAAATAAAAAACAGACCTTACCCGTGCTCTCAACTTAACCTACATTTTGTATATGTGGAGTTGGAGAGGTTCTATGACCTTGTGAAAAAAAAGCTGTGGACAAAGAGTTGGGAAAGTCTGCTTCACAGGCATGCTGTGTGTATTTAACTATTGGTCAAGTAAATAATGGCATGCCATACAGGTATTAAGGGCATTTGAAGAAAGCTAGCACCAGATCAAGAGATTATTTGCAGATTTGCAAAACATGCTTTTAAAATATAACCTCAAGGAGTCATTTAGAAAAGTTAATATTTCCCACTCCTTGCAAAAACATATCTGGCATGGGTATTAACTAAAGTGTGAATTGTCATGAAATTTCAAAAACTCACAAAATGGGCAAATTGGGGGGAAAGGAGGGGGGGAGAAGTCAGTGTTTTTAGTTTGGATATTTTGGCCCAATATTAAAAATTTTGCTTTGAATTCACATTGAGTTACTAACGATTCACACTTCGGTAAAAAAGATAACCCTTTGTCTGCTTCTTTATTAATCTCCAGATGCTCCATGCCAGCACATTCTGTCACACCATCCTGTTTCATCTTTTTCGTTAAGCCTCATAAATTCCAAGAGCATTGGAATAAAAACACACATCTAAACAAACTGCATTTTAAGAACCTCAGAAAAACAAGGCCTTTAATTATTGTTCCTACGAGCTGCATTAATTACAGGGTCTAATTATGATGCCACCAGATGTTTCACTTGAGATCCAGAAGTTCTTTTCTATGCCACACCCTGTTGGCTTTGTTTTTATGGAAAATATAACGTACGGGAAGGTCCTGTAACAGAGCTCTTGTACAGTGTAAAACACATTACTTAAGTCTTATTATGAGTTCCAATGCATTTGTTACTCATTCCATCTAGATGCAATTTTCTATACTCCGTTTTGATGGGTTAACATTTTGTATTTTTGATAAATCTAGGTAAAAAATATTTGGAGGTTAAGGCCAATGGTATTTGTACTGAAGATACCTGTAGAGCTAATAGTGGAGAGTTATGTGGTTTATTTATTGTTTGAAAAAAATGCTAAGAAAAAAATACCTCAAAGAAATGTACCTACTCCCAGGGGTAACACTGAGCTGCCTTATCCTCGATAGTGAGGTCCCTGAAGTGTTAAACAAATACAGTCATCAATAACACAAAATAAAAACACTGCCCCCTATCCCAGGAAATACATAATTAGAAATGACAACTCCTCACTGCTGTGTAATATACAACTGTCACTATACTCCGTTGCAATGTCCAATTCCAAAGTTTATGTATACCTTGAAGCAATATCCATGTATATCAAATATAGCAGGTATGCACATCCATAGACACTAAAAAATTGGCAAAAAAAGAAGCTAAATTAAACAAAGGGTGCAGTAATCATTAGCAATGACAAAAGGCAATATTCAACATTGACATGTATGGAAAAACAATATAGGTACATGTGCATCAAAATATCAGGTTAAGGGGGACAAGGCCTGACGGCTATGCTGAATGGTCACATTACAGCTCCTGGGATATTCTGCCTTTATAGCTAGAAATTGCTACTTGCTGTGGTCTATCGTGCAATAGTCTGCTGGTACCATATCTAATTCTGAATCTGGGATTTGGATCCTTTGTGAGACGACTGCAGCCATTACAATTCCAGCCTTCCCAAACAGCAATTGGGGTGGAGGGCCACCACCTTTCTTTCTTATCTGCCTGTAGCACAACAGCTTTCTTCTACTGAATGATTCTGTCCCCTGTACCCTGTAAACCCCCATTTGGTCCTGCAGGGGGTCACACTGAAGACTTCATACCTGCTAATATATTTGATGCTCCCACATGCATCTAAGATGGCTGCGGGTTTTTTGCCAGTTTCAGCACAGATGCAATATATGTTATCCTCGGGGATAGAATTTTTTTTCTGTGCTTTTCACACCCTGTTATCAGTTTTAGACTAAATCAAACCAGCAATCCTGGACTGAAAAATCTTCACAGTCACACATAGAGCATGCTGATCACAAGGCTGCCACTTCTTCTCACCTACCTAGTCCGTATGCTGTTACGATCTCCCAAGCTAAACCACATCTGCGTTTCTGGCAGGCTGCCTGGTGTCACTGCATATCGTTGCCTCAATATTCTATATGGCTTCTCCGAACTGGCGTTCTGGGGACATACCGGCTGTTTGTCATACAACTATCGCCCACAATTGTTTCTTTTGAAGCCACAATTTTTTTCGCTATTTCTTTTCTTTTACTTATGTGTTGTTATGATTTTGCTGCATTAAAAGCTGCTGCAGGGGGTTTACCAAGTTGTTTCTTCAACTATTGTATATCTTTTATTCACTAAAAAACATCTCACATTTCATATTCATCATCCTTTTTAATATTTTGCCTGTATGGTATTATTACCCATGTCTTACTAAACTTGCTATTCGATTATTACAATGTAATGTGAGGATATAACATTTTAAAACATATTAATAATGGTGGGCGTGTCCTGGACCTCGAAGGGAGCAAACGCATGAGAGGCTAGCTCTGCTCACAGATGGCTGAAAAAAGCTAAATAAACGCTAAATCCAGAGACAGAACCATGTCTCAGCACAAAAACAGACGTCAAACCGGCAAAGCTGAAAAATCCAAATTCTTTGGAGTTTGTACAGGCACGAGTACGCAAGCCCTATTGCGGGAGGAAAGCCAAGATGGCGCAGAAGCTGACTTACCCAAAACTCCAGACTCCACGGAAGCAGACATGCCAATTACCCAGGGGGTGCTACAATCCATGCTGGATGCCCTGTCGGCGAAGATTCAGCTAACCCTGCAAAACCCTTGCAGGAGATCCCCTTCGAAGTCCAGGAGCTTGACGCCAGAACAACGTCAATGGAAGACAAGATGGCCAACCGTGCCGATGCCCGCAATGACTTAGACTCCCAGGTAGAAAGCCTCAAAGCACAGCTTGAAACAAATGATACGAGGCTAGCTGATACGGAGGACAGAGGGCAACATAATAATCTCTGACTGCGGGGCATCGCGGAAGCCATTGGTCCGGCAGAACTCCAGGCGCACGTCACAGGCCTATTCAAGGCCCTCCTGCCTGATTTGCCTACGGACATGCTACTAATAGACCGGGTACATCAGGTCCAAAAGTCTGAGTCTATACCGGTGGAGGCCCCTAGAGATACTCTGATAAGGCTTCACTACTACCATATCAAGGACTCTATCCTGAGAGCAAGCAGAAACACCAGAGACTTACCAGCCCCTTACACTGGCACTCTGATCTTCGCGGACATCTCGGCCTTCATACTCCGGAAAAGACGGGCCTTCACCGGCATCACAATCCTATTACGCACACACCACCTGCCTTACTCCAGGTCAAGCTGTTGTGATGTATGGCCTGTTGGGCTGTGTATGTGTGTGTGAGTGTATTGGTGATGTATGGGCAGTTGAGTTGTTGTTGGTTGTGAATGATGCACTTCCTTTCTTTTGGCTCTTTACTTCCTGTTCCTGTTGGCAGTTGGTGGAATGTTCCAGGGATTTGAAATAGCGGCTGCAGAAACCCTGTGTAACAAGGCTGCAATATGAAGATGCTGTTAGATCTGTATTAATAAAGTGAGCACTTCGTTATACAGGAATTATTGACTGATTTGTACAAAACATCACAGTGGCAACAAGGCTGTAGAACCCAAACTGACATGGCAGCCATAGGCACTATAAAGGACTTTGATCCTGACTCGGATTTATGGGCCTCTTCGGTTGAGAGGCTTGAACAATATTTCGCAGCTAATGATATTCCTGACAATAAACAGGTCACTGTTTTCCTAACAGTTATAGGAGCCAGAACGTATGATACGCTAAGGAGCCTCTTACACCCAGAGAAACCTTCCAGCAAGCCATTGGCAAGTTTGATTACTCTGTTAAGTGTCCATTTCCAACCAAAACCACTAGAGATAGCAGAGAGATTTAAATTCTATTCTATAAAAGAAGACAAGAGCCTGGTGAATCAGTTTTAGCATATGCCATTGCGTTACGGAAACTCGCCAGCACCTGTTGTTTTGGGGACTACCTGCCCACTGCTCTGCGAGACCATTTTGTAATGGGCATTGCAAGTGATGCAGTGCTAAGGAGACTGCTTACAGAAGAAGATGTAACATTTAAAAAGGCAATGAACATGGCAAGCATTATAGAATAAGCCTCTAAAGATGCTAATCTATTACACAGCAGACTGGACAACACACAAGAGGCAGAGCTAGAAGTATTAAAATTAGATGCTAGAGCACAGAGTGTACCACAGGGAAAGAGACATTCAAAACAGGAACATTCACATTACAAATGTTATCACTGCGGAGCTGCTACACATGTTGCAACTACATGCAGATTCAAGGATGCCAAGTGTCATGCTTGTGGTAAAATGGGCCATCTACAAAGAGTGTGTAGATCCACAGCAGAGAGAGGCAGTAATCGCTTGAGACATAGAGCAAAGAATGCCTTTAGAGTACAAATGCAGGAGTCTTCTGAGGATTCGGATGAACAATTTCCTGTACAAAATTAAAAAATTATACAGAATAGGTTCTAATCTGGCAGCATTCACAATTCAGGTTGTTGTAAATGGCACGGAACTGACTATGGATTTGGACACAGGTGCAGCTGTATCAGTGATTTCTTTGACAGACTGGAAACGTCTTAAAATACATAGGCCAATAATTCAGACAACTGTGAGACTGCAAACATATTCTAAAGAGCTGTTAATACCAGTGGGTTGTGTGACAGTAACAGTTACATTAAACAAGTGTAAGAAGGAACTACCTCTCTATATCTTAGAGAAAGGAGGACCTCCACTTTTTGGTAGGCAGTGGATGAAGGCTCTTGGGATGCCTCAAGTGCATAAGTATCCATGTCATGTGTTGAATGAAAATCAGACCAGACTTGACTGAATTAGGGACTTACAAGAGAAGTATGCACCAGTGTTTGATGGCCAATTGGGGACTGTAAAGGGACAACAAGTTTCCTTGGAATTAAAGGAATTAGCAACACCTAAATTGTTTAAAGCAAGAAGTGTACCATTTGCTCTAAGAGCCGGAGTCTTATTTTATGTTAATTTCAGCTGACCCTTGAGGTCTCCAGATACTACTATCTGAAGTTTTAACACTTCCACCCCCCCTTGCACCTGAATGGGGTGCTTAAAATCTACTATTCCACTGGTTGTTTGTATATACTTTTTTTATAGTCATCTGTTTACATCCCATCCCCAAAGTTACCTCAAATACCCCTTCTCCCCTCCTAAACCTGACACTTGAAGCTCCTGGATAAGCTTGCACAATTTTTCTGCTAGCTGCAGTGTACCCGGGGTTCACCAGCACTAAATGAGGGACACCCTGCAAGGCTTGAGAAAGCTGGGAGTTGCAGGCCCATCGACCTACATGAGATTGACAAATACTCTTCCAACTTTTTTTATGTTTAAACCACCCTGAAAATACATACACAAAATGTAAGGGGATAGAACTCCCCAGTTAAGAGATACACTTTGAGCAGAGAGGTACGCCCACTAGGAGCAGACGCATTTCCTGAGAGACTCCCACCCTACTATCCTCTAGAGGGAATATCTGCACCAGTTCCATGCCACCGCCAGCACAAAAACCAAAGGGACATCGATCCTTATTAGTAAACATGTAGCCTTCCAGTTACACTCCCAATTTCTTGAAGAGGAGGGTGGATACGCCATTATCCTGGGAACACTTAACAAAATCCAATATACAATCGCTAACATATATGCCCCGAATACTGACCAGAGAAACTTCATGCACAAAATCCTACACAAATTGTGCGCCATACACACAGGCATAACGGTCACATGCGGTGACTTCAACTACATTATGGACCCCACTCTAGACACAACTCTCCCACCCAGTAGAGCTAGATTTCATCCTCTGAAGGGACAGTGTTGTGCCCTCCAAAAACTCTTACAAGAACATTACCTTTATGATATATAGCTCACATTGCTTGAAAGCAGACTCTATTAACCCCTTAAGGACACATGACATGTGTTTGCAGATGACACAAAACTCTGTAAAGTAATACAACGTGAGCAAGACTTTGCTGAAGATGGATTTAGATAGACTGGGGGACTGGGCACTCTAATGGCAGATGAAATGTAATGTTGAAAAATGCAAAGTTATGCACTTCGGCATAAAAAATGCACAAGCAATGTATACATTTAATGGAAGCAAATTAGGGATAACAACACACAAGAAGGACTTGGGAATTGTTATAGACAACAAACTGTGCAACAATGTCAATCAGCAGTGGCTAAGGCCAGTAAGGTATTGTCATGCATGAAAAAAGGCATTTATTCTCAGGATGAGAATATAATTTTGCCTCTTTATAAATCACTGGTAAGACCACATATTGAATATGTTGTGCAATTTTGGTCACCTGTTCTAAAGAAGGATATTATGGCACTAGAAAAAGTGCAGAGACGGACTACAAAATTAATAAAAAGAATAGAACATATCAGCTATGAAGAAAGGTTAACAAATTTAAAACTCTTAAGTTTAGAAAAACGTCACCTAAGAGGGGATATGATAACATTATACAAACATTCGGGGCCAATACAAACCATTTTGTGGAAATCTATTCACAAACCGGACTTTACATAGGAC